CGTTTCCAGCTCGTCAACGGCTTCGGCTGCAGTTTGTCTGCTCCCGCGCCGATACTCGAGTGACGTTGCTGGGAGACGTGCGGGGGGACTGGGAGAGCGCATACAGAAGGCATCGTGAGCGATTGGAGAGGAGGAGCGTTGTCGAGCTCTCGATCGGCAGCGGTAGGAGAAGAGTCGGGAGATGAAGGAGATGGAGTTGGAGGTGGAGAGTTTCGCAACAGAGGAAGCTTGATAGCAGTTGCTGAAAGGACAGGGCTCGGGGGTGGAGGCAATGATGTAGCGCTGCCAGTCCCGCCACTAACAAAACTGGCCCCCGAAGCGGCGTTGGTGTTGGTGACTGTGGCGGGCTCAGCGCCTCCGGGGCCTGTATTCGAGGCCGTGGCAGCGGCTGGAGTGCTTCTGGCAGCGCCCACAGGGGACTGCAGGTCAGGGGGTCGGGCGCTGTCTCTCTCGCTGGGGCTGTCGCTGTCGCTTTCGTCGCTGCTGGATTCGGTGTCGCTAGAGCCCTTGATGCTGCCCTCGCGAATCAGATCCAGCAGGGAAGGCCGCGCCTTGAGCCGTGGCCGCAGTCCGAGCATACGAGCGCGATGCGGACAAACATTTATGGACAGATGCGTCTTTTACTGCGAGGCAGAAGAGTGACAATTGAGAGCTGAGACATCAAGAATACGAAAGTTGGGGGATGTTGAAATAGAGCACCATAGTGAATCGAGTGTCAGGGATGCCGTAGGTACATGTAGACACACGGACAGTACCTATACATTTACAGCTGCGAGGCAGTTGGTGTGTCAAGGGGTAGCGTCGAGTAGAGGTACATGTGCATGACTTGGAGCATGAACGTAATATCAACAAAGCCACAGTGAGACGCGCATCTGCTCCATCGTTTGATATCATTATTTCTTTGTTACTACTTTTGTAATACACTGTTGATCCCTGTGACTTCTAGGAAATGAAGCTGAAAAAGATCCTCATCGTTATCTCTACCAATTGTACACATCGTACAGGTAACTTGGAAATTGCTCGAAAGGGCAGCACAAACACCAGTACTCCATACTTGCTTGCGCCGGCGGCATCCATTAGTAGACTCCGGGTTCACATTCTCACGTCTACTTCATGATACAATTCCGAATTCGCAGTTGCTCGGACAGATCTCGCTTTTATATCTTTCAGAATGACATAATATCTCAACCGTAAATCAAGAATCTGGCGCAATTGGGATTACAGACGTCTTCGTTACGCTCTATCAAGAATAAAATACAACCTTCTCCCATGCCTCAAGCCTTGGCTTTCAACTCATTGGCCCGACTCTCCAGCTCATCCAACAAATCCTTCCTCACAGCCAAAGAGCCCAGCGTCTTCATGCCTGCCGACATACCGCATTCCTGGTGATCGTGGGATCGGTGATGCGAGTGACCATGCAGCTCATCCGATCTCTTATTAAGATGAAGGCCAATTGAAGGAACCACGCAGTTGTTCTCACTACGACCGGCCCGAAGTTGGCAGAGCTCTTGCGTCTTGCAGTCCCCAGTGCACGAGGCGACGTTCCAGCCACGGCTCTTGAGCGAGATGTACTCGTTGAACACGTCCGAGTTTGACTCGAACAAGGCCGTTACGTTGTGCCAAAACGCGGGAGTCAGCTCGACACTTGCGTCGGTGACGGGGGGGTTCAGCTTGGAGCCGTACGTCTCCTTGGCAGAGTAAAGCTTCGTCCACACGGGGCCAGTCGTTTGGAAATCCGCGTTGGTCATGTCGGCAATGTAGGTCGTAGTGTCGAGCACTGCAAACGTCTCCGGGTCAACATCATATACTCGGAACGAGGGCATGCCCGAGGTGGGCGTCAGCGAGGGGCAGATGTAAGATGCCATGACAGCATGCGAGGCATCCCGGCTGTTGTAGTCGGAGTAGCTGACCTCAAAGTGGTCGACGTGCGTGTGGCCGAAGAACATGGCGGCAATGGTCGACGAGTAGCGGTTCACAACTTGATCAAGGTAGTTTGACCCTGCGTGAAAAGCATCGCCTTCTCCGAGGGGCATGTGTCCAATGATGTAAACTCTCTCTCCTGCCTTTTCCGCAGCGTCAAGTTCATTCACGAGCCATTGGATTTGACCGTCAGGGTCCTGCTCAATGTCCTCCTGGTATAGCCAAAAGTTCATGCGGTAGTAAAAGTTGGTGTTGAGAGAGATGACCCTCAGGTTGCCATTGGGATACTTGGTAGAGTATGCGCCGATACTTTCAATCTCGGATTCCGCAGAGGCTCCCACCCAGCGTGTCCATTGGTCAGATAGAGCATCATATACCCATTGCGATGAGTTGCTGATGGATCTAGGAGGGAAAGCATTTGTGGGATTCGATTCATGGTTACCAGCAGTGCCGTAAACGATGCCGAGATACTGGCTCATGTAAGTGTATGCGTCGGAGACTGCAGGTGGAAGTATGTTAGTCAACTACATATGTAATGCCAGTACGCAATTTGTTCAAGAAAAGAGAATACAAACTTTGTTTCTGGTTGTAAGGCTGCGAGGTGTTCCAGATTGCATGGTCAACAATATCGCCCGTGAAGAGCGTTAAAGCAGCATCTGGAACAATGTTCTTGATAGCTTGATACATGCTAATTTCCAAGCCGACGGGTGTGTCGCACTTGTGGTCTCCATTTGGCCCAGCGGGCGATGTTGACTTGCCAGGCTCATCAGCGGCGGTATAAGGTCTTTATAGTAACAATATGGTCAGTATCTTTACAATTTGACCTCGTCGTCACTCTTTGTTTGTACAAATCGACTCACCTGCAGCAGATGGGCTTAGTGCAATTCGAGCTTGAGCCAGACACATAAAGAGGATCAATGTGAATATCCGAGTACTGAACCACCTTGAGAGGCGTCTTCCCGCTTGGCGCAGGGCGACCAGTCTGTGGCTTCGGAGAGGGAAAGGGAATCTTCCACTGAGGAACAGAAGGCTCAGGGCAGAGGCCAAGGAAAGATCCGCAGAAGAGTTTTGATGTATCAGACCCGAGATCCATGTTTCGGATGGCATCCGCAATGATGGGGCCCTCTAATCCCACGGTGCCCTCGCACACATCATCGTCTTCAACCTGAAGACTTTCGTTAGCCGTGGCTAGAAGGAAACCAGACCGTCGCGGTCATCTAGGTACCTTTGCGAGCTTGCAGAGTTCCGTAGCTACGCTAACGAATGCTCCGTCTCCAAATACAGCGATGCCTTTGAGAAGGACGAGAATGCCCTGGAGCTGTGTCAGTCTACAGTCTTGACTGTGAATGATGGTTTCTGACCTGGCAAGCAGTGCACGTCGCAGCATTCTTGATATCGTTCCATATATCATCAGCCAAGCTTCTTGCCTCAATAGCCCTCTCGATGTTCTCGATCTCTCGAGGAGAGAGACTGCTATCCTCAAGAGAAACTGCAGCCTGAGCAACAGAGCCCAGAGCCAGCAGGGAGAGCGTCGAGCTGGGACGCATAGCTGATCACAAATGCTGGCTTGAGCTGCCTTCAGATGCCTGGTTTGTCCACAAGGATCAGGAACCAGGAACCAAACAAGGTCTTCCATCATAGCTATATATAAATAGACGATAGCCACGTCCACCTGCCTACATGATGTTAGTGCCCACCCATCTACGAACTGCACTCCAGGCTGTTGCAAATCCTCTCCTCTCGACTATACGAACTTTGGGCCCTTCACAAGGCAAAACTCAGCTCACAAGGAACCGGCCCTGTGCCAAGTCAAGAACGCACTCCAGGGCGGATGACCTTCCGGACTCTGTCTCGCTCCATCTCCAATGCCACGCTGAACGAATGCAGGACCGAGGCATCGTCCAGTAAGAACCCCTCAACGGCCTCCCCTGAGGGCCGTCTAATGGCGAGGCCCCGAGATGGAGATCCAATCAGAGGCAAGCTCCTACACATGCATCGGCAGAGACCAGTTAATTAGAGGAAATGGTGTGCGGCTCGGCAGATCAGGAGGCGGGGGAGGTTATTGGCGGCTGATTGTTTGGGGAAAGCTTATGCGATGCGACTGACAAGAAGATCCAATACGATGCATGCATGTATGTATGGAACATTTGAAGTTTGGTTCCCATTATGTCATTGAGAGGATGCGGCAATTAAAAGGCGCTGGTAAATCAAGATTGTGCGAATTGTACTTGTATTTACCTATACTTATAGATTAAAGAATCCCGTGTAAGTACGTGGTGGAGATTCTAATAGCAGCGTATTGGTTCAGGTACCGTGTAAGACAAAGACCATTGTCAAATGACTCCAACCTTAGTCTTCACATGAATCACGAGCCAAGACATAAATGCCACTTCAGCGCATTCATTGTCAGCCAAGCCCAAACCTTGCAACAATCACCTGGCCGTGCCCTTTTCTGCGCCCAAAATGCCCGGACTTCATTTTGTTTCATCCCTCTCGGTCCCCAACACAGAAAGCCGCACATTAGTACCAAGTTCATAGGTGAGGGGCTGCTACAGCTTGATTGTCGGCCGAGCAGCTCTACCATGTGAAACCCAACTTGGCTTCCTAGTTTGTAGCGCCGACGATCCCGGGCCGTCAAGTTATGCCCGTATAAGTAAGCGCTGCGGTCGCGCTTTTCTCGTAATGAGCGATCTTTTGCTTGGCGTCCTTGGTATAATGGCTTCGACGTTCGTTTTGACGCAGCCAAGCCTCGAGTGACAAATGCCGCTGCTCGTTGACAATCGATATGTCCGAGGCATCGGTTCCAGGAGCTTTTCGCTGCGGAATAGACTGGAGCAATTATACCCAAGACTTGTCGCCAAATCATACATATCTTCGTCACTATATTGTACATACAAACATTGGTCCATTGCTCCTCCTTTTTTCTCCTCCCGTAAATATCCAAATGATGATACAGCTGTTCTCTCGGTTCCGAGGCCAAATTAGACCAGTCAGCTGTTTAGCAGTATTATGCAAAATCCATATTGTACACGAGAGTAGGTTTCCGCCGTCTCTCAGCCACATCGTTATTTCGTGACCCATCATGTGTCTTTCTTGACATCTTCTCCGGCAGGTTTAAAGGCTTCGTGGGACAGACCTTGTCGCGCCCAAGCAACCTGCACTGGACCGCCAGCTTCTTGCTGCGAACGCATTTCTCTGAATTGCTCTCCCTTTTTGGCCAGCTCCGGTAACTTCCCCTGGAACATCTTGTACCAATCCCACCTATCCGAAGGCGATGGCGCAAATACCCTCTTCCGCCGCTGCTTCATCCCTGCGTAGATTTTCCGCGCTCTTTTATCTCGCAGTTCAGTAATGTTATATTCAATGGTCCAATCAAAATCGTCCTCCTTCTTGATATTTGTCGGTCGGTCAACATGTTCGCCGTTGACGAGATTGCGAACTGTAACAATCATGCCCAATAATTCACGGTCAGGTTGCCCAGCTCCTCCCGGGGTCTCAACAGCTTCATTCTCGTCTTCATCTTCTTCGGCAAATTCATCTTCATCCAAAAGATCGTCTTCAGCGGGTAGCTTTTCTGTCATCTCGCTGGTTTCTGGGTCTGTTTGCTCAGAGTTTATAGCCAGATCAGCGAACATGCGTTGAAACGTCTTTAAGTTGCCTGCCCTATTATCAATTCCCTCGGTGGCCTTAAGGATCAAGTCGGTTAATGAGGCATCCCGCATCTCTGAGCCATCTTTGTCAAATTTAGGCTCCGTGACTTGCTCTTCATCTGCTACTGACTCTTCCTCCGCACTGAGATTATCATCTGTGGCACGCCTGAGAGCTGGCTCTGTAACATCTCTTGGGTCATCTGATCTGTCCCTCAATTCTTTGATCTTGGAGGAGTGCGCTGTAAGAGACATTACCATAGCATCTAGGTATTGCTCAATTTCCAGTTCTGTTTTGCCGTTTAGAATTCCGCTCTGTTCGAGAGCCTCCTGAACAGCCTCTCTCACCGAACCTATGCCAAGAGATTCATCTTCCACGGTTGCGTCAACTTTTGCCATCATGACGTTCCAGGCAGCTTCATTTGGCGGGTCCTGGTAGGAAGGCTCGTCGGGAATTTGCTCTTCTTTTTCATTAGATGGCTGTGATTCGGGCTGCTCAATACTCTCGGCTTCATTTGGGTTTTCTTCACTTTCAGTTTCGCTGAGAATCTGAAACTCGCGCTCTAGTTCCTCGACTGATGATTTCCCAGCTTCCTGAGTCGTCTTCATTTCCTCCTCCGTCACCGGCTCCACGAAGAAATAAGTGAGAGGGACTTTTGTGTCCCGTGTCTCGACATGCAATCGCAACGTTCGACCAGGGTAACGTTGTGTTGCCTTGTTCATAACCTCGTTCAAAAGAGCGACACTTGTTTTGAATTCCTGATCACCCAGTCGGCGATCAGATGTTCCGTGAAGAGCCACATCCATTTCCTCCAAACTGATGTACTGGAAGCCAAATATCCGCTGTGTGTTATGATATGCGACAAAGATGCCATCCATACGGCCCATTCTCACCTGCAGAGAATATTTGAGGAAAACAGTTCTGATCATGTCGTAGTATTCTCGCTCAAAAGATTCCCACTGGCCAAATCGCTTCTGAATTTCATAGCCGGCACCTTTCTCGTAACCTCGAACATCCATCCTGACGGCGACTACCGCCCTAGTTTTCAAGTCAAACATTCCAGAACCAGGAAGTCGAGGATCGTAGGCGTCCAACTGAGATCGCATCATGAAATCGCCCAAAGTCGTGTAATGAAATGAGTCCTGTGCATTTCTCTCCTCTTCTGACAACTGATGAGACCGCGATAGCCTATATTTTTCGAATTCATCTTTCGGCAATGTAAGGAGCTTTTCCATTGACTTTCCCAATAAGCTCAGAATATTCTCAGTGTCGTATTCTTTGTCTGAATCAAACGCATAGGTGCCATCATTATAGTGTGCAAAGGCGGCAGAAGGTCCACGGCTAATGGCAGTAAAATTAAAGGACTCGGGCTCTATTGATCGTGATAAGAATGCGAAATTAGGCTTCCTCCAGGCAGAGAGCAGAAAGTGAAAATGTGAGAGAATTGAAGTCATGCTCGACGTTGAGCCGCAATACTTCATCCCATGCGCGGCGCTGAGCTGTCTCAACTTGACATCCTTGGATGAGGTAACATAGCTCCTCAGCGCATCAAAGTCAAATTCTTTGACTGGCATGATGGAAGCAAGATAAGGATCGAAATTAAAGACGCGAGACCGGCCATCCTGCATATGATAGACTCCTGGGTTGAACAGCACACGGTCGAGATTATGACTGAGCTGCGGTACCGGTAGCAAAGCATCCTCTTCAACCGGACATAAGTTGAGATGCTGAGGTCTTATCGTCTTCACATCTAGTCTTGGCAGGTCCTTTGCTTTTCTGCCCTTTGCAAGTCTCCCGGCTAAAGAGGTCTTCTCGGGAGGTACGTCACCTGGAGCCATCGGTGCCGCCGCATAGCGAGCCATTACATCCACATCTTCTTGCTCATTCTTAAGTCCATCGGCAGCTTTCGCTCGCCTTTTCGAAGTCGAAGATTGAAGCCGGGATTTCAGGGTAGTCCATAATCCTGCAGTTGGTGGCACCGCTGCATCCTGGGATTCTCCCCCATCCAACGCAGACTCTCCAGGCTCTGCAGGGCTAGGCTTTTTATCCTTTGGCAGCTTCCTTGGCAGCTTCTTTTTCTTCGTTTTGGTAGTAGCAGCCTCTCGCAGTTTTGCGTTTATCTTCCGTTTACACTTTTCTCGCGCTTTTCCTGCCGGCTTACCGTCAAGCACCTGGGTGACTGTGAAGCTTCTAAGACCGAGGTTCGTGAGAGGCAGCTGTCGGCGAATGGTCCACAGGGCAGTATAGGCCAGTGGCCTGGCACGGAGGAATGGTTGAATCATCTCAAACTGTGAGACAACATGTTCTTATGAGAACGACATGTACTCGTATTTGTAGTGTCAGGCAAAGGGAAACGAAGTAACCCTTGTCGAACCTCAATACTTCATCATGAGTTTAAGTACAAGGTGCTGCAAGGGAAGCTCACCTTTCATCATTGAACTTTTTCTTATCGATACGAGGGCGTTTGCGGTCGGCAATACGGCGGGACAAGCAACTGCCGCTTGCATGCGCCACACGTGATCAGCCCTGCAGTGAATGGCGCTGATGACGAACTCCCCTGCGACAGCTTCATCGTGGATCTCCAGAAGCTCCATTCTGTTGGTACGTCATTCTAAAACAGTCAGCAGGGCTCGAGGCCTTGTGCGGCAGATATGGGGGCCAGCGACTCCAAGATAGGATTTAAGCAGGGCATCTTCAGATTATCAGAGGAGCGCAACATTGCGGCGCATGATCCTTACTGGACTTCGGTTCGTCATGCCTTTGATCTCACATGGCCGCGGGGATGCTGATGGGGTCTTTAGTTTTGGGAGCTTCCTGAATCGTCGGAAGATGTTTTTAGTCTTTTCTCGCCCAACGATATCCGCCGAACTCGTGACAATGCCCTAGAAAATATCGAGACCTTGATTCAAACCTTGACCACGCGAGCCTTTACTCTACGACATCATCCATCCTTTCCAGATCCCGACCAAGCTCCAGAACGAGACATTCTGAACTGTATCAGGGTTCTTACCCGAGTACTGCCATACTTATATGAGAAAGAGAGCTTAGGACCTTGGGAAGAAAAGTTCCTGTGGACACCCCGACAGGTAAAGGGCCGAACTGCCAAAAATGAGGTGCTGTTTGATGAAGCTCAGGAAGGGAAAGAGCCGGTGCAGTCCGCAGCTGAAACGCATGAGAATATGAGACCTCTAGCGGAGGAGCTGATAGACACCTTGGTCGATCTCCTATTCTTCTCAGATTTCACTCTCCCTCGCCAGCCAAATGGACAATCCAAGGTTACGTATGCCATATGGCAGAGCGGGGTTGGGTGCAATACAGCCGTGGCAACGACCAAAGAATTTGAAAGCAACCGATGTGAAATTCTAAGGCTCCTCATGACTCTTGCTGGCCAAAGCATGTACACAACTCCGGGAGTGCTGCCACAGAGGGGAGTGCGGACTCTAACCTACCTCTGCACGTCTCCCGATAAGCAGGTGGTGCTCTCGGTTCTTTGTTCCCTTCTAAACACTGTGAGTACCCAAAGCCTCTTCTGGACAAGGCCTTTTAGCTGACTAACATTTTCTGAAGACGTTGAAATATAATCCAGCGAGCTGGCGCGTACCATACAACACCTTAGTGTTCAGAGACACTAAGCAGGTTCTTGTGACTTACTCTATACACTTCTTATTAGCCATGCTCATATACCCCATACCCGAAGATGCGTCTTCGGGCTCCCACAAGAACTACTTCCGTCATTTCCTCGGCCGAATACATCGCCCTCAGGACTTTCAATTCATAGTTGATGGAATGACACGAATTCTCAATCAGCCGCTTCAAGAGAAGAGCTCCTACATTCCTGGCTCTCAATCTTCTTCTAACCTTGCTCCAGAGGTCTTGATGCTTTTTTGGGAACTGATTCAATGCAATAAGCGATTTCGGTCTTTCATCATTGATACCGATCGGGCACACGATTTCGTTGTCCTAGCGCTATTCTACGCTCTGGAATACAGGAATGAGCCATCTAAGCAGGGTGTTGTGCGCATGTGCGCTTTTCTCTTACAGACATTGAGCGTTGAAGCGAGCTTTGGTTCTCACTTGAACAAGATTTTCGAAGGCCAAGAAAGCCTCCCTGCGAGCATCAGAATCAACGCATTCAGGGGCACATACGCTGATTTCCTTTTACACTCAATTTATACCTTGATTACTACAAGTCAGGGCAATTTCGCTCCAGTTTACCCGGCGCTTCTAGCAATCATCAACAACATAGCTCCACATATTGAAGGACTGAGTGCTTCCAGTGGCTCCCAGCTCATGCATTTATTTTCGCTGATGGCATCTCCATCATTTCTACTTGCCAATGAAACTAATCATGTCCTCTTACACTCTCTGCTGGATTCGATCAATTCCTGTCTTGAAAATAAATACCGCCAGAATCCGGAGCTAATACTGGCCATTATCAAAAACAAGAAACGAATTGAGGCGCTCAGGACATTCACGTTGGAAAGTGGACAAGAGGAGATTGAGAAGATCAATAGGAGAAGGAAGGACGCTGGGGCTGGGGTTCACACTGGGCTTTTCGACGATGGATCTCGACGAAGCTCTGCCGACAGTATACGAAGCCCGTCAAACGCTCTATCTCGAACCCAATCATTGGAGGAAGTCCCCGAGGACAGCGCCTTTGCCGTCGGAGACGACGATGACGACGAAGATAGCGACGAGGAGCCTCAGCCCACACCAGCTGCGTCGACTGCCAGCGAAAACCCGTCTCAGGCATCATCAGTAACCAACGTTGAAGATGCAGTGCCTGTACAGCTACGAGGAATGTCCGAGAAAGCCCGGGGAAAGATGCCGGCTAATATCCAGTCCTTCTCCCGGCAGAACAGCTCAACAAGTCTTGGCGCATATTCGACCACCAACCAGGCATTTGGTGGCAGTTTTGAACCGACAGCCTCGTGGATCGATAGCTGGTTGCCGGAATTACCTCTACATACCATCTTGACCATCATTCAGCAAGCATCGAGCGTTCTCCCACGGCAAGCATCGGCCCGAGACGCTACAGCAGACACGCTGCGTCGAATTCAAAAGATTGAATTTGTCGGCCTCGAGCCGTCTGCTGTACGAGTCCACTTATTTGAATGGTCCCAGCTGGCACTCGGATGGTACGAGTCCCTGCTCTGGGGCGTCATCTTTGCCAGTGAAATGCAGATTGCAAAGGGCACCATGGGTATCTGGAATGGCACCGCCATCAAGCTCTTCCGAGTCCAGGAGACGGCGCCGGCAGGCCCCACTCTGACCTCACCCAGAGGGGCTGTGGATGCTGTCGGAAGCAATATTGTGTCACGTATCGGCCAAATAAATCTTCGCGGCGCGTCGGCACCTTCAAATTCTGCACCGAACAGGGGTGGATCATGATGGTAATACATCTTCGTACTCCATGTGTGTTACCCTCCGGAATTACGATGCATAAGACGAGCCAACAACTATCAAGAGTGTGATGTGCTTGTACAGTAGCCTACCGAGATATAGATCATATGTTTGACTATGACTTTGCGAGTCTCTTTCCCAGTTGGCGTGCTCAGCAAACATCATTCTGCCCTGCCAGCATTGGTCCAATCATCCCCCCCCTGGAGGTCTGGATGCCTGGTGGGCACATCCCTGTGCGGTGCTGGCAATCATTGGTGACAAGGAACAGAGTACAGCAGGCTTCTTCCTCTTCATTTATTAAAGCCCTTGATGGGCCAATCAGACAAATTGACGTGGCTACCTTAGAAGCCTTGCGATGAGGATGGAAGATCACAGAGACTCCGAGGGTAATGGGTACAGCTGCCATTTCCGACGGTAATTCGTGCAGAAGGCACTGACGATGGGCACCAAGATTTGACGGCTGGACTGGAGATTGGGCTCTGCATCCGCCATGGCTGTATTAGCAAGCATTCCTGAGGATATCCTGCGGGCAGAGTCAGTCGGCCGAGTAATGTCAGCAGCTGTGATTGATCGTACATTTGATACTTGGTATTTTAACGTTTGGGGGCGCTAGGGCTTGAAGGGACTAAGCTATTAACGAATTGATGGCTCTGGCTTATGCTTCAAAGCAGCGCTGTGATTGATGCTTATGCGACGTGATGCTACCTACCTAGGTATGGAACAACCTGAAGCGACTTGGTGCCGATTCAGACGCCTCAACAGCACCAGCGATGACGCGAATGATACGGAGCTGTCAAAGCTCAGCTCATCCGCAACGCCACTGACACATTACGAGTAGCAGTACCCAGCCAAGCCAGCAGAAGCGCCGCACACACACGGTCCAGCCCCATGACGGTTGGAAGCGAGACATGACGCTGTTAGTGAGCTGCTGGGCTCCCCGTAAATTGCGAATAAGAGGCACGCTAGCCACTAGCCGCCGCTTCGGATGGACTGCACGATGAATCCAGCTCGGCCCAGCCTTGAGCTGTTGTTGCTCCCAACGTTACTTTTTCATCCGAATGTGACTTGTTTCTTATCTCTCCCCTTTCACAACCGTTTCGCGACCCTCTGGGCTCGGCCATAGCGTTTGCGTCCCAGCGCATGCCGCCGATGCAATGAGCGCTACCCTCAACTAACACTGGACCCGTCTTGACGAGCTTACGGCGCGCTGAAGGTATCGTGTATTTCAAGACCCGTTTACATCATGGCTCAGCCTGCCGAGGCAGCAAGCGCCGCCGCCGCTTCGGTGGATGAAGACATCAAAGAGTACAAGATCCACGTATGACCCCAGAATAGCGTACATCATCTTAATTCTTCAAGCCTAATGCAGCGTCGCGGCTAATCACTTTTTGACGAGCAAAGGCCTCGAGCAAGTACCTTGATTTTACGCGGCAGAAGCTCGAGCTAGCTCGGCTTCCTCGCGAAGTTCCCGACGCGAACTCGAGGGCGTGGTGGGATCCGAAACCAGCGCTGGAACCACTCATCGACTATTGGTAAGTCAGCGCTCACGACCTCTCATCAATCAAAACTCCAATGACTAACAAACTGCCAGGCTTGAGCACTTCGTTTGGAGAGAGCATGAAAAGGAAATCAATGCCTCGGTCCCGCAGTTCAGGATCAGCTTCCAAGCATCTGCCACAGAGGGGCCTACGAGGCTGCATTTCATCCACGCGCGCTCGCGGCATCCAAATGCCGTGCCTTTGCTCTTGATCCCGCCGTTTCCATTTACCAATTTATCTTTCCGCCACATCATCGATACCTTTACGGATCCTAACGATGCGAACACCAACCAACCCTTTCACCTTGTTATGCCATCGCTCCCCGGGCTGGGCTTCAGCGATTCTCTGCCCAAAAATGTCCAGGTCGTCTCCAGAACATCCGAGATGCTTGATATCCTCATGAGGCGACTAGGATACAGGCATTACCTCGCGACTAATTCTGGATCATCAATTACTCCTCAAGGTGGAATCGACTGGAAAATTCTCACACATCTGGCTGCCAACCATTTGGATTCTTGCCTTGGTGTCCATTTAGTATCCCCGCCATTGAAAGCACCAACAGCATTGAAAGCACCAGTCGAATGGCTAAAGTTGACTTTGGCAAAGACTCTGCAAACGCCCATTTTGGGTTATACAAAGGAAGACGTTGCGGCTCTTCAGAAGAACAATCGAGAAAGAGCTAAGATATCCACTACGGATTTTGCCACGCGAGAGTCGTTTGGAACAGGTGCATACGATCCAAATACGCTAGCATACGCACTTTGCGATTCTCCAACCGGGCTTTTGGTCTTTTTCCTGGCCATAGTTAGAGTATTAGGGTCCGAGAAGGAGTTTACTTCATTAGAACTCGTCACAATGACCAAGTTGACTTGGCTCCCGGGCCCGGAAGGGACGCTGAGGCTATTGGCAGACAATCATCACTCAGCAAGAGATGATACGGAGCCAAAATATTCAAGGAAGCCCAAAGCTTCCATCACAGTGTTCCTGGCTGATGATGCCGCGGTTCAGAATGGATCAAGCTCAGCTCGGGATGGCGTTTCACCACCATCGGTCAACCCCTACGTATGCCCCAGCTGGGCCAGGCAGCACTATGAGGTAGTTTGGACTGGCCGAGTTCAGGGGAATCAGGGACTATTGCTTTGGGAGCGACCACAAGTGATTGCTGATGGTGTAAGCAATCTTGCCAAAGCATTGCTCGCCATAGACAAGAGACTATATGGAACTGGGAACAGAACGGTTTAGTTGAATAGTTGCTGGGGTAAACATGTTTGCCTTTAATTTTTATTGATATTTTCCAGATCATCTAGCCATGATCTGTATTCAAGGCCGAGAAGTTGGATTGTACGTTGCAAGGATCGATATACATACATATTTTGCGGTTTTCGGTAGGACGACACTATGGAACAAACTCACAATAAGAGGCTTGTTAATGAACTATTTTCCTTCTACAATGCAGTATAAACAAATGCTTGCAATATAGAGCATCCATCAACTGGTTGTTTATCATATAGCAGCTCGTAATCACTTCTCTTCTACAGATGAATTCGTTGCTTTGCCATTGACTTTTATCACTGTGAGGCTTACCAGTGCTAACATCAGTAGCGTTGAGCCTTAGCCTTTTGCTCTAAACGTACCTGCAGCTCAAGGTTTGGCGGGGTTCATGGCCATTGGGCTGCTGGAGTGGTCTGTGCGTGCTGTCTGCTGCACCCCAAGCCAACCTTCAGGGTCAACTCCCAGCCAACACCGAGAATGGCCTAAAAGCGACATCTTGATATCTTCAAATTGTATTTGCTTCACCTCCTTTTTCCCGCAGGAAGTTCGACAACCAAAAGCTGCAGGGATCCAAGCCCCGGCCCCCGGCAGTTCCTCTCTCTCCAACACCGACGACGATGCTCGCTTGTGACCCCGTCTGGTGACACTACTCGACGGCATCATGTCCAACAGCTACGGCAGCTCGATGCGCAATGGCGACGGATACGGCAACTTCGGGCGGTCGACCGATGACTACGATCCGTACGGCGATAGCAACTACAGAGGCGAGAGATACAATGCCCAGGTGTCAAACCAGAGCCTCCGAAATATGCCCTCGCGACCGCGCGTCCAGGAGACAAGCGCCGAGAGACAGATAGCTCAGGTGCTGGATCACATCAAGAGCGAGTGGCCGTCCATGTGCCGCGAGGATTGCGTGCCTGTCCAGCTCGCGCTCCAGCTCCTAGATAACAGCTCGGTCGGTCGCGCGCACGACTATCGCAAGTTCCAGACGACGCATACGTATCTCCAGGACTCGCTGAAAAACATTGTCCACGAGCATCATCAGGGGTTCAACAGCTCCATCGGTACATTTCACAAGATCCAGAGTAGCATTCAGGTCTCGCAGAAGCGAGTCCGCGCTCTCAAGGAGTCGCTGGCATTATCCAAAGCCAGTCTATGCGCGACAGATCCAACCTTGAAGATTCTCTCCGAGGAGTCGAAAGAATATGACGAACTATTACAAACATTGAACGAGCTGGACGACCTTCGAGCCGTTCCTGACCAACTGGAAGCTCGTATATCCGAGAAACGATTTCTGACAGCGGTCGACGTGCTGCAAACTGCACTGCGGAAACTGAGAAAGCCAGAGCTGGATAATATCGGGGCGCTCAGCGATCTGCGAAGCTACCTCGCCAACCAAGAGACTGTCCTGATGGATATTCTGGTGGAAGAGCTGCACGAACACCTCTATCTAAAGTCGCCGTACTGCCAGCAAAGGTGGTCAAGTTTGGCTAAGAACCGAGGCGGAGTCAACGAAAGCAATCACAACGACGCAAACCCCCCAACTACTCCATTCTACCTGATATTAGACTCGATTGATTTTGAGAGGCCAGTGCTGGAAGATCCAATGAAGAACCCAGAGGCGGACACATTCTACTACGTGACTCTATTGGTCGAAGCATTAAACAAGCTAGGCAGACTGCAGAATGCTGTAGAGACTTTGAAGCAAAGGCTGCCTGTTGAGCTTTTCATCGTCGTCAATGAAACTATTAACGAGGTTGAGCAGCGCCACCCAACTTCGTTCCGCGCTGCCGTTGGGAAGCTGGATGGAGTGCAAATATATAGCGCTAGGGAGATCCAGATGCGTGCAGACGTTATTTATGACCTCCTTTGGACGCTCTATGGCAAGTTTGAGGCCATCGGAGAAGGCCAGCGTGTCTTCCACGAGTCCATCAAGGCTCTTATTCGCCGCGAGGGGTCTGGCAATAATATTGCCCTGCTCGGTAGTTTCAAGGAGCTATGGCACCTTTACCAGAACGAAATCCGCTCTCTTTTGCATAACTACGTAACGACAGATGCCGACGTTTACCAATTCGACTCTCCTACGCCAGGAGCGGGTGTTGGCGGCAAAGACGGCATGCGAGAGCATCTGTTCAAATTTTCCGAAGCAGATACCAAGTCTATTGAAGTAGCTGCCGAATTTGATGCGCTGGAGACCATCATTCAAGCTACTGTCCCTGGCTTGACGGGTGGCTCGCGGAAGCATGGCTCCGAGAATAAGAGGAACAAGTCAACAACTGATGATATCGGATCAAGGCGGAGTGCCTACGGTGCAAGTCGGGGGGCACCAGGCTCTTACAAATCGTTGGTTGAGCCAAGCGTTTTCAACATGAGTCTTCTCTTACCACCAACTCTAATCTTCCTACAACGGCTGAAAACCATTGTTCCTCCCGGTTCCGATCTTGCTACGAGCACTTTAACCACATTCCTTGACAATTTCTTGGTCAATGTATTCCAACCACAGCTGGATGAGACTCTTGGAAAGCTATGTGACGCCGTCTTTGGCGAATCCGACTCGTTCTTACAGGATCCTGACTGGAACCAATGCTCCCAACGGCCTATATTCAAGGGTGCCACCGCATTCTTCCAGGTAGTCACGGCGTTTTGCCGAATGCTTGGAACCATTCCTCCAGACCAAGCTTTGAGCTCTCTCATTGTGACCCAAATGATGCGATATTATGATCGATGCTTCAGCTGGTTTCAATCCCTTGTGACGAAGAGGCACGATCAACCTGCCGATTCAAGCAACTTGCGAGCCTCGGCACGCTTTTCAGTGCAATCTAGCGAAGTCAACGATATAGCAAAGCAGCTTTGGGCTGCCGATGAGTTGGATAGCGGATTGATGAGGAAAGAGGTGCAGCTTCTCATACAGAAGACGAATGGCCAGCGGCTGGAGGCAAACGACGTTATCCAAGATCGAGACACGATTTCATCGCTCTGCCTTTTATACACCAGCATGAGATGGCTGGCCGCGAAGATTCAGAGCTTGAGACACATAACATCGCAAGAGACGGATACTTCACGGCAGCACCTCCCACGCCAGTCAGGCCAACGGTGGACATTGAACGACCCAAGTAAGACTTCAGGGCAAAGTCCAGTACAGCTTCCTCTTACGGTAGAGAGTGCTCAGTAAGTAGCTATCAAAGATTTTGCAACTCTGCATTAGTGTATCCGCTAACAAAAGCCCTTTCTGATAGAACGTTTGACACCATCGTGTCCTCCTTTGAGGAACTGGCTGCTACGGCTCTGCTAACTTTACACATGGAAGTGCGCTGTCGGGTTATCTACTCGTTGCGCAACACACTCTCGCCAGACTCAGCGCCGTACATTCTGGAGCAGGATGTGAACGAGCCTGATCCTCAGATTATCAGTCTCAATCAAGAGCTTGTTCTTCTGGACGAGACTATCGTTGAATTCTTGAGAGACAAGGAAGTCATCTTTATACGGACCGGGGTTGGCATTCTCATCAACACCTTTTTGGTTCAGAACGCTTCCTTGGCCTCCCCTATGAACGACAAAGGATGCCATCGCATGCAACTAAACATTCTCGTTCTCCAGCAGAACCTCAAAAACGTCGAGGACGGAGTCGACTTGGCCAAAGCAACGAGCTACTTTCAACTGTTTGAGCGGGGCCCAGAGGCTATTGTTGAGAAGGCAAGGGAGTACAAGGATAGACACGGGATGGGAACACTGGCGATTGATCTGAACAGCTTCTCGTATGACGAGCTCAAGGCTTTGATAGAGCTCTGCTATAGCGAACAGATGGCTAATCCCGAGAGAGGTATCACGTCAGCGGCCAGGAGGCAGCTGGATGAAAAGTTCGCTAGGTTGAGTGAGTTTAGGTGGCAGTAATGACTTAGCATTTGAAAGGCGGCGTAATGGGAGTTGACGGATTATAAGCAAGTTGGAGAGGGTGTAGGAGTGGGATATTTTATTGCATGGTGGTCATGTTTCAATGTCTAGCAATATTAGTAGAGGGAGATTATGTGCATATGTTTCGGAGAAGCTCATTTGCTGTGGTGAAGAGGGCATGCATGCATTGAGAGTAGTCTTTGAGCGGCACTATTGACTCTCTATAATGCCGTGAAAACGCAGCCGGAAGTAATATTAGCATTATAGATTAATTTTACAATTATCAGCCAAACTCTTAATAAATTACATGCTCGGTTTGATCGAGTCAATTTGGTTATTTCGAAAGTCATAGATGGCTTTTTGGTAAAAGCCCGGCAGTCTGGTTCATCACTACAACTTAAGGCTACATAGGTAATTTTCTTCACTTTAATTTCCTCTCAAGGCCACCATCACTATAGTACTAATGTATATATCGTAAACGCATCAAATAAAAACAGCAGTATCAGGAAAAACATTATGCCTCATGTCCGTGGAAGCCTCATGTTCGCTAACACCCTAGCAAGCAGCTCCTCCCGGGTATCACGTCTATGCGGATGTAGCTTTCTCTATAAAGTAACGGCCGAGTCAGCGAGCGCATTCGGGATGACTACCCATCCCTCTAGATGCAGATGCACAACTTACCGCGGCCAGCCATCTTCTCATCTCTTCTCTGGTCCATGTCTCGGGGTCGCCCTTGGGATCTTCTTGTGCGGGAAACAAGTCGCCACCGAAGATGGACCAAGCTGCTGCTGCGACCACGACGCCTCCGAAGGCTTTTATGGTTTCTGTTAGAACTGATGAAACCTGAATTGATAGGTAAGGAATATGTATTACCGAGTAGTACATTCTTTGTTCATGTTAGACGATCAAGACTGAATTGAGTGTTATATACGTAATGTAGCTTACCTTGGACTTCAACGCACCGTCTAGTGCAGTACTGGACATCTTAAAGGCGAGGTATACGTTGAGATCAGAAACTGGGCGCTTTATGAATCCGTTGAATAGGAGGATATTAAAACTGTATTTCATATAAAAGAATAATGATGAATGAGTCAATGTTTCATATGCACCGATGAAATGTGTTCTCAACTCAATTCGTTCTATCAAAGCAAAGCCACTTATAGTAGACGTGTATGGCAACACGCACGCTCGACGCCACAACCATTAGCCACATTTGAATGTGGCTAGTGCGTTTGCTGGTCCGTGCGACCCGCCCCGCGAAGCGGGAGCGCACAAAAATAATTTGTTGCCAAAAATCCACCATATCTCGAATCGTAAATTTCGTACTCTGTCGTCCCAAACCCGTCTCACAGAGCCGATCAAATACCGCCAAAATGCCCAAGGAAGTCGCTGACATCAAGAAGGTAAGGCATCACCATATCAGAAAGAAATCAAGTAGAATCTCTGCGTGCTGACATTTTCGTCTCCAGTTCATCGAGATCTGCCGTCGGAAGGACGCTTCCTGTACGTATTCAACGCAGCTATCCGACATCCAACCTCGCCTCCCCTTTCGAGGAGAAAATCTCGACGAGAATTGGGAGAGAGAACGATAGATGGGAAGAAGGAATTGTGTCGACTAACTTGACTACAGCCGCGCGGATCAAGAAGAACAAGAAGGCCCACAACATCAAGTTCAAGGTCCGATGCCAGAAGAACCTCTACACCCTGGTGCTGAAGGACAATGACAAGGCCGAGAAGCTCAAGCAGAGCCTGCCTCCCAGTATGCACCCCGACCCTTAGCAGAACGAATTCCTCAATTCCCAATCTGCTACCGTGGCGTCGAGACGACAATGATGGAAGCTGACCTTGCTACTACAGACCTGCAAATCGCAGAGGTCCCCAAGAAGAACTAAGGAAATGAATTGGTGGTAAAATAGGGGTGGCTTTGGGCGTGGGAAGGGTTTACATGCACAACTGGGCGTCTCGGGATACCTTGCATTTCATGTGCTCAGAACGCACGCTCGCAATAGAGCTCAAAAAATAACGATTTGAGACACAAAAAAAGCAACAATCGCACACCAAAATCTGGTGAGCCCGATGTCTTTTTGTGCCGGCTAGGCTACCTGTGAAGAAGGGGAGGCCCCGCGATTACTCGGTGATGCCTATTTACACGACGTGCCTGAAGTGGCGATGATCTTTCTTGAGGGCGAGGCTCGCCAATCCTTCCAGTCGTTTCTTCGGAACATCGCCAGTCCAGAATACAATCAAATCTTCCTTACCTTCCTCACCAGCTGCCTTTTCAATCCTCCAGCCCGCCCATATGCTCTTTTCCAGACCCTCCTTTCGCAGCTCGTTTTCCAGTGCTTGATACTTGGTTTGTATTGCCTCCCGCTGATCGCCGTTGAATGTTAAGCGACAGACGTCGAATACGTCGTTGGTATCCTTGTGTTGAAAGGCTTCCCGCATCTGTGGCCTCGCTCCCGCCGGGTCCATGTGGAAGAGCAGGACGGAATCGCACCCAGGGGCACTGAACTCGGTTAAGTTGCCATTGGCCGTCCTGTTATCAAGACTCTGTATCCATTCTCCGTGCGCCTCAGGCGAATCCCACGGCGCCGTGATGAGAAGCGTTGATTGGTCTGTGGCATCCGTGTACATGCTGCTCAGGTTCATGCCAGGCGCCAGATTGCACGGCTGATTGCGGCGAATCCAATTGTCCTGAATCTCTTGACACTCCATGAGTGTTTCGAGAAACTCGAGGGGGTCGAAATTAGGCCTCAGCTTGATGATAGCGAACTCAGTGACAGGCATGATGGCTGGCTTTGGTGAACGATTGTAAACGTAGTTCAAGTGAGGCAAAGTAATTGAATGGGTAGGTTTCTCTTGTGTTTGATTGTTGACTATCTGGATTTAGGAACCACGCAGCAAGGCAGCTGCCGATGTTTTTACACTTGGGATTCTCAACTAGGCAGACCGCAGTGACGATTGTTGTCCGCGGTAAGGATTGCTGTCCGCGGAGCTGAAGGTATAATTGTTCTCGATTTTTTGTATCGTTTGCGTGTGCTGGTGGTTACCTAGAGCCCCCTTGTCGAAGACGGGACGTGATGGCTACTAAATTACGGGAGGAAGCAGGTATAAGTAGTTTACTTATAACAAAACCCCAAATTATCAACACCCTAAAGCAAGCCCATGACGAACAGCCCACATGTTTTGTGAACGTGATCCGAGGGACGATTGCGCGTCGCACAGAACCGGCAAATCCCCATTAACTGGGCGCAATCTTGGGCCATGTTTTGAGGCTGCAGTGTCGTCATCACCCCGCGCATCGCAGGTCCCAGCCCAGAGAAGAGCAGGGCAGTGACAGACTGGGCGGTGGCATTGGATCGGCTAGATGGGGAGACTTGATTCGATGTTTTGGTATTTGGGTTTTAGACTTTTGGTTGTGGCGTTTATGGAACTGGAATGGTTGGAGATGGCGGCCTTGGCAGGGACTTTGGAGAGAAACCGGGATTTGATGAATACTTCGGGTTCTATGAATATTTTCATGGGGGTATTGAAATATTCGAATGTTGCTAGAATGGCCGTATTGGGATGCTTCGAGGGTTGAATGCTTTTACTTCAGGTTGAAAAGCTCATACAAGCACTATATCAGCTTGGGCACAGACCTTTGTCTCAGGAATGAAGGAGAAAAGAAGGCGTAATTAGAGTGCTTATTTACGTAGGTATCCATGTTTACCTGAATTGATAGTCGCGAGATATAAGTCGGACAATGAGATGACTATCGATCCGTTGGTACGTTTGGTTGATTTTGGACGAAGAAGCAAGCTTTCGAATCTTGCACGCTGTAATTTGTCCAGGTTGGGCTACAATGTAGGTAATGTATGTACAACTCACCTACGATCTATATAAAATTGCCTTGGGGTCATCTGCGAGATTTCACGTTGTTACTGATGCAACATCATGATAAAAGACAGTGGAACGATGTGCAACATGGTGCCAAGAACAAACAAGAGCTGAAAAAGTATACGCTGCTTCTAGCAATCCGTAGCTAGAGTCAATGTCATGAGACGTCGGTAGTCACTATGACCCATGCACAGTGGTTCGAGGAATCATCTTAAATCCCATTATGAGATGTCTAAATTCTATCAGCTAGATCACACCCAAAGTATTGATTGGGTTATGAGAAGGTGCCTATCATGGTTGTGAAAGGCTGCAGACAGGCAAAATATTGATCAACATTGAAGCCCGCCTTAGCCGCGCTGACACGGCCCGATCGATGTATTGGATGGATTCCATCAATGCAGCCTATTTAGCCTTTGATACGGCATTGGAGGGCAGAGGGATTTCAGACAGCCACAGTCGCGGAAATGTGAAGCCTTTCGGGCCTCGACGGCATCAGGTTGGGGGGTGACATGCATTTTGAGATGGATGGATTCCGGCGTCAACATCGATCATAGTGATGGTGCAAGATCGGTATACCTTGGGTACTGTAGTAAGGCAATACAGAGCTTGCATGTTCGTTCACATTCCATATAAGGAAGTCTTCAAAAAGTGCTGCAGTAGGTACTCCATACATGCAGTGAGATGAGACTTGTTCCACACCAAGATGCAAGTTCGTATCAGCTATAACTTGGTTTGGCAAGTTTGGGTTGCACAAAGAGACAAAGGCCGGTGAGATGCTGAAATCCTGCTGCAATCTGTCAATACGAATACGCAGCGGCATACAGCACCGACCCCCACCCACTATCGAGATCAGCCAGCCAATTGGTCCAGCGAATGGAAGCCCGCCATTGACCAAATTTCTTCCAATTGGCGTCTGAATATTACGCACCGCCCGTCATCTGGGGGCATGTACCGGCATGCACAAAGCGAGCTGGATGGTACCTTCTGGTTAGTGGCTTCCGGCTAATGCAGGCTGGCCGTTTGCGCATCGTGGCATCGACCTCGTAGTCGTGACTTGGCCCGCGCATTCGTGTCTGTGATTTGTTTGTGTGTGTGTGTGGCCTGTGGTGTAAGACAACAAGTACCGCCATGTATTGCTTATTCTGAATTATGCACTGAATGTTTTCTCTTCTAATTACTAGTATCATTACTGAGATAGTTATAGTATTGGAAATTATATTAGAACATATGAGGTGTTGTTGTTGGTGGTACAAGTACAAGCGTTCTCTCCAGTCTCTCCTTACTCCGAAACTAATTACAAGTCGGGCAACAAAAAGAGGCCCATTGATGAGATTTGGGGCAGTTGGAGATCAAAGAACCCACTAAGTACACAATCGCTCTGCGGGGACCCTTTTTCGCATTGACCCTTTTGGCAAGGCTTGGGCTTCCCATCAGGTACTGGTACTCTAGCCTCCATCTCACGAGCAGACTTGTACAAATCTATTCTACCCTCCATTGCCCACCTCCTTGCCCCAACCACGAGTTGTTGGCAGCTGGCAACTTCCCGCGCGCCCTTTATATATCCTCATACGACTTCTACTCTGCGCGACCGAGCATAAAACAGCAAGACTCGCCAATCTGTCTTGTTAGTCGCTACCCCTGCCCCTGCCAGCCTTTCGACATCCCTCCTCTGCCCCTCGTGCCGTGGGTGGGCTGCCAGGTAACAACTCGAGACGCATCGACAGCCACAGCCAACAGACGATTCACTCAAGGCTCCCAAGGAAGCTCAAATGTCTGACGGTTCAGACACCCCCGAGAGCCCCAGCAATGGCATGACGCCGTCCGTCAATGGCAATGGACTGTCGGCTGGGCATCACCGCGCCATGTCGCTGCGCCGGCCATCTGCCCCCATGGCGCCCGCCTTTATGGTGTCCGCGCCGGGCAAGGTGATTGTCTTTGGAGAACATTCAGTTGTCTATGGCAGGGTGTGTATCTTTTGTGACTGAGATGTGGTTTATCAATGGCTGACTGGTCCCCTTTGTTGCTGTGTAGGCTGCCATCGCTGCTGCCATTTCTCTACGATCCTATCTCCATGTCACGACGCTGTCGAAATCTAAACATACCGTTTCGCTTCGCTTCCCCGACATCGACCTAACTCATACTTGGGATATTGATAATCTCCCTTGGGCGGCTTTCCACCACCCAGACAAGAAAAAGTCATACTACTCCTTGGTCACGGAGCTTGACACCGATTTACTGGCCGCTCTGCAGCCACACATTGACGAGGTCTCCCCGGACCGATCAGAAGAGATTCGAAAAGTTCACCGAAGCTCTGCCACCGCATTCCTCTACCTCTTCCTTTCTCTGGGATCACCACGCTTCCCAGGATCCCTCTATACTCTACGATCTACAATTCCTATTTCGGCTGGTCTTGGCAGTAGTGCTTCTATCTCTGTCTGCCTAGCCGCGTCTCTTCTCCTCCAGCTACGGACACTCTCTGGTCCTCATCCTGACCAGCCTTCCGACGAGGCTCGCATCCAGATCGAGCGCATCAACCGTTGGGCCTTTGTGTCAGAGATGTGCATTCACGGAAACCCTTCAGGAGTCGACAACACCGTAGCCTCCCAGGGCAAGGCTGTAGTATTCCAGCGAACAGACTACAGCAAGCCTCCTTCAGTTCGCCCACTGTGGAACTTTCCCGAGCTGCCTCTGCTCCTCGTGGATACAAAGCAGGCCAAATCTACGGCGCACGAAGTAGCCAAGGTTGGAAAGCTGAACAAGACACATCCTAAGCTTGTTGGCACAATTCTAGATGCTATGCACAACGTCACTGACGCAGCTTCCGAACTCATCGAAGATAAGAGCTTCGATGCTAAGGATGGAGAGAGCCTAAGAAAGGTTGGCGAGTTGATGACAATCAATCACGGTCTTTTGAACTCGCTAGGTGTGTCTCACCCTAGGTTGGAGAGGGTGCGTGAATTGGTCGATCATGAGGGAATCGGATGGACCAAACTCACCGGTGCTGGAGGCGGCGGCTGTTCTATCACACTGCTGAAACCAGATGTATCCAAGGAGAAACTTGATACGCTGGACACCCGGTTTGAAGCCGAAGGTTATCAGAAGTTTAGCACTACCCTTGGCGGTGATGGTGTGGGTGTCCTATGGCCGGCTGTCCTGAAGAACGGCCTCGACGAAGATGAAGAAGGTGGCATGGAGATTGATGTGGATTTGTTCCTTAACGCTCAAGGAACCGAGGGCGTTGAACAGCTTGTCGGCGTCCACGGCGACGGCGGCGAGAGAGAAGGATGGAAATTTTGGCGTGTAGAGAGCGAGTAGCCGGTGGGAGATGTGTGTCTCTGGCTCTGGGGGAGAGACGAGTTAGTGAGTCTGGCGTTGGGTTATCATGGCGACAAGGCATATGCGGGTTGGGACATTGTGAGCGAAAAGGGGGGAGTGATTTCACTGCGGATCTTTTTTTGTACGCATGAGCATTGGTCGCTTGCTTGGCGTTTAAGGAAACCATTTTCGCGTTATGACATGATGGCCTTGAAATATCATTGCTAATAAAACACGTAGATACAAAATAGATATGACAAACATGGCATCTTAGCATTATTCTCTGATAAGAAGCATCATTATGGCGCAAGGAGATTGATACATGTACTCAAATTTCAAGTCAGACGTCGGCTATGCTATTTCTACTTTATTTCAACTCTGACAATCGGTACTTCCAGTATCCCTCTCGCACAGGATCCCACTTCTCCGACAGTCTCTGCAGACACAGCTTGGCCTTTTCAATATCGCCCTGCTTGTGGTAGACTTCGGACAAGAGATCCAGCGCATGAGAGCTCTTGACGTCCTCATCATCGCTGCCCAGGTTGGAAACGAACTGCGAAGCGAAATCGCCCACAGTATCGAGTCCACGACCGCCTTTTACCAGGACACCGCGCAGGTAATGCCACGCAGACTGGTTCTGGGGCGCAAGCTCGATCTTTTCCTTTGCGTACGTAACCTCCCTGTCGATGATCTCGGCAGGTACCTTGGGATCATGTTCAGTAGGGGCGCTACCCTTGGTTGAGACGGAAGGATCGGAGAAGACGACGAAGAAGCGATGGGACCAGGCAGAGTTGTTGCGCAAATCATCCTCAATCATGCTCTGAGTGGTGGCAAGCTCAAAGGGGCTCCAGTAGTTGAGCTTGGTGACGAGATACTGGCGATAAGACCAGACGTGGTAGTTCTTGGTGTCTTCGGCGAGGATCTTGGAGATGAAGTCCGTCTCGGACTTTGCAAACTGCTTGCATGCCTCGGGGTCGGAGGAGATGCTCGTGTAGTGATGGTCAAGGAGGAGCTGGCGGTGGTGCCAGATCTGGTAGTTCTTGAGATTGTCCATGGCGACGCCGTTGAGCCATTCGATCTCGTCCAGTACGGGGAGGTTGAGGGTGGCGACGATTTTGAAGCGGTAGAGCCAGACGGTGTAGTGAGCTGGGTTCATGCCGATGATCCGCTCGGTGAGGCGGAGAGAGCGAGGGGAGTATTCCTCTGCGGCCATGACGGCGCGGAGGTAAGAGACAGCTGTTGTAAAAATAAGATGTTAGTCAAGCAGTCTTTGCTTCGTTATAATATTCGAGATACGATCATCATACCCTCGGCGTATTCATCTGGATAGGCGATCCTGGCCAGAGCATCCTCAGGCTCAGTCTGCGGGATGGGAGCAACATCATCCCACTCCGGATCATTGGCCAGAGGTCCGGGAATCTCGCCGTACAGCTCCCTCTTCAATGCCGCCATCTCTTTCCGTCGTTCCTTTTCCTGTTGGATATCTTCTTGGGGGAGCTCAGTGCCGTTACTGCGAGCAGCGTCTCTCTTGGTCAGAAACTGGCGGTGCAAGACGTCAAGCGCAGTCAGTTTAGCTTGACTTAAAGACCGCTTCTTGAGCTCTTCAAATCTATACGTGCCGATATCGCGGCCGTGCTTGTCCTGGCCCCAGTGGTAGCTGTTTTTGAGGCGTCGACAGGGAAGGCCTTCCTTGGCGACGTGCTTCCAGTACTCGCGGTCTGTCTTGTTGGACAGTGACACAAGGCGGTTCGCGACAGGGAGGATCAGGTTCGTGTGCGTGTACGTCTTCTTTTCGGCTGCTGTCAGGCCCGGGAATCCGACCTCTTCGAATCGCTTCTCGACGGGGTTTGTCTGGTAGTACCGCTGCTTGGACCGTTCGCCAACCGTCTCAGGAGGGGCTTCTGGCGCAGCTGCAGCAACGGGAGAATATATGCGTTAGCTACCTAGGTTCTAGCTTTCCTACAGGACGAAAAAGAGGCTGTTCATATTCACCTTTGGGTTCGGGATTGGCAGCCTTTGCAGTGGCCTTTGCCTTAGGCGGCATGTTGGATGCTGGAGGTGTGAATGGCGGGGTTTTTTTGGACTGCTGCAAGAAGCTGCAAATATTTGTGTCTGCCACCAACAGCGTTCCCCCGCGATGGGGCTTGGGGCGGCTATTGGCGCGGCGTCGCGAGAACAATGGCGAGAACAATCGGATGCATGAGGCGCTCAACCTTTGCATTTATTGGTCACGACTGGTATTGTCTATTGGAATTCATGCAGTTATTTATTGCTTCTGTACTGGATAGTACAGTTGTCTGCTTGAATTGGACCCCCCATAGGCCGTTTCGATTGTCCGTTGTCGCAGACCGAATACAACTATTTGCTACAACACCACGCTTATATTGTACATCTGAGTGCAAGAGTAATTTGTCTTGGAAGCTGAACTGTATTGCTATGTGCTCGAATTCGAGATATATTTATTTTCCCGCGCTTCCTACCAACCAGAAGATGGGTACTCGTTCGGCTGGTCCCATCACTCAATGTCCTATTCTCCATCCTGCAATCATCTAGATCAGTTCCAATGGCAATCAAGTGCCGTATCAAATATGAACCCTGCTTCCCCGGCATCAAGGCATTGTTCAAGCAGTACTCGTTCCCTGGTGTGTACGACGCGAACTTACAATAGGTTTGGTCAGCCGCACGTACAGCGCTCAGGTGAACGAGTACTGCTTGAAACAATGCCTTGAGACCATCCTATGACTTTTTGCTGAATAATATTTCATTTTGGTATGGGTATCGTGGATTTGGTGCTGTCGTGTTTTCTGCATTCTAATCTGAGCCGTCATGGCTGCAGTTGCTTGTAAATGGAATGCCTCATCAGATCCGGATCACAACGCGCGGAAGTTTTGTGACATGATGAGCCATCTCTTAAGACCTCGAGCCGGATTCCTCGCCATTGCATCCCAGTTGGGCACCAGCACAAAGGTCTCGTTGAACATTTTCTGTGGTGCTTCGCGTCCCTTGCCGAACCGGACCTTGCCCATCGTCGTGACCACAATGCTCATACGCCGCCCGCTCTTTTCGTTCTTTTCGCTTTCATAGACGGTATCAGGGGCTCCGTATTGGAATGACGGGTTGATGATGTGTGTATCAAGAGATTCTATCTCGTAAAGCACATTCTCGCCTTGGGATTCGAGGAGCTTAGAATACTCCGCCGGTGTGGGAACGACAGAACCGTTGATGGAGATGTCGGCAGGGATCGAATAGCGAGTCGATGAGTTGATATAAAATGTTTCAAGCTTTGCTTTGCTGTTTATTGCCTGGTAATAGTTGTTGACGAAGATTTCGGCAGCTATTTCAAGTCAAGTCAGTTTGAGAAGCCTGCCATGATGATACCAGCGTTGAGACATACCTTCGCTAGAAACCCTGACTTCTGTATCCGCATCTGGGAGTGGCATGATGTCCTTGGCTTCAGCAGCATCAGCGCTCTTTCTAAATGTTCTGCCGATGCTGCTCTTAGCTTTTGTTGATCAGAAGGACGCGAACTGTTAGGCAGCTAGACATTTTCTAATGACGTGCAGGCTGCCCCGCCTTATCGCACAGTTATCGTCGCACTCAATTCGCACTTAGAGCACTGTATCATGCAATTCCTCTCAACTATCATCTTCAGATCTTGCTCTAAGTCAAGGCTCGTCGCAACCATGCTCTCACTAAGACCGAGGGCCATTTCCGGGCTGCGACGAGCTCAGCCGCGGCTCGCTTCGTCGTCTGGCTGGATCTGCTCCGGCTGCAGAACAAATTTCGCTGCTGTGCAACGCTGGAACAGCTCTCAAAGCTCTGCGGGGTCTTCAAGCGAGAAGCCGTACTATATCACAACTCCAATCTTTTATGTCAATGCTGGTAAATATCAAGTAAAATGGTTGACTGACTTTTCAAAATGGTATAGCTAACTTGTCTATCAAAAAGCTCCTCACATTGGCCATCTTTATACCATGGTAGTCACAGATGTCATCAAGCGCTGGCAGCAAATTAAAGGCAAGGAAGCTTTTATGTGTACCGGAACGGATGAGCATGGAATGAAAATTCAGAGAGCCGCTACTAAGAATGGAATGGAGCCGAAAGAGTTTTGTGATGTCAATTCAAACAAATTTCGAGAACTGGTAGCTGCAGCAAACATCTCAAACGATTTCTTCATCCGGACAACTGACCAAGACCACAAAGACGTGGTAGCTCAGGTCTGGCTACATCTCAAGCATGCGACGCCTGAAAGTTTGGGGTTGTATAAAGGTTCTCACGAAGGATGGTATTGTGTAAGCGATGAGTGCTTTTATCCCGAGGATCTGGTAAGGCCTAGCATTGCGCCCCAAACCGGAAAGAAGATCATGGTGAGCACCGAGACGGATAACGAGGTGGAGTGGATCAAGGAAGAAACCTGGTTCTTCCCCTTGACGAAATACAAAGACGCTTTGTTGAAGATATATGATGAGAATCCTGGGTGGATCAAGCCAGCTCATCGCATGGCAGAAGCAAGAGACTGGATAGAAAACCATCTTGAAGACTTATCTGTTACCAGGCCCGCCTCCAGGCTCAACTGGGGTGTAGCAGACCCCGAGGATAAAAGTCAGACCATCTATGTCTGGGTTGATGCTCTTATCAATTACCTTACCAAAGCAGGGTACGGAAGCAAGTGGCACTCGGCAAAGGAAGACATGGGACTCTGGCCGGCCAACTTGCAGGTTATTGGAAAGGATATTCTGCGTTTTCACACAATCTACTGGCCTGCCTTGCTCCTTGCCTTAGGCTTACCTGTTTCGCAAGGTTTCCTCTGTCACAACCATTGGACCATGTCCAATCGTAAGATGTCAAAGTCGCTGGGCAACGTTGTCAATCCCATCTTCGCCATCCAACGATGGGGTATTGACCCCCTACGATATTTCCTCATGCGAAACGCCAGTCTCCACAAGGATATGAGTTACTCCAACCAGCTGATTGGCACAGTCTACGTCAAAGAGCTACAGGCGAACATTGGCAATCTCTTTTATAGAATCGCAAAGCCAAAGGCGTCAGTGAGGTGGTCGACTCTCGAAGCCGTGACTGCATATCGCAATGGAGATTTGAATGTCTGGGCTAATAAACATGGCGCAAACGATGCCGATGCGATGTACTTTAGTTTAGAAGGTCACCTGGCTGAAAAGCCTGTGGCCTTTGCTAAAGAAATGGATGACTACGATACGAGCGCTGCGATACGCGAGATTTTCGAATTGCTGCGAGAGGTATGATTATAATCCGTCACGCATACATGCCCACCAGATACGCACCAAATATTGACTGATGACATTAGACAAACCGTTACGTTTCCGATACCAAGCCTTGGGATTTGGTCAAGCTTCAAGGTGCAGAATCCCGCATGCTGCTGAACTGGGTCATCTATAACAGTGCGGAAGCATTGCGCATTGCTGGTATCCTGCTTCAGCCAATCATGCCAACTAAAGCATCAGAGTTGTTAGATGCCTTGGGAGTTCGGCCTGATAGGCGCTCCGTTGAGTTTGCTGTCAAGGGGAAGGATGCTGATTACGGTACCGAGTCCACGCCAGCAGAGCCAGCGCCTCGAATGAGCAAATGGGACACGATTTTCCCACCAACACCCAGTGCAGACCTCTCAGATGACGAACTGTCAGAGCATTTGAGGGTAGCATTGCTGGATAAGACTAGAAACAAGATGAACCAGATGGCTGAGCTGTTGGCGATGGAGGCGCGAATGGGCGAGGAGGCAGTTGCCAAGCTGTTGGCCGAGACACATGCAGCCAAGGTTGGCGCACGCCAGTCATGAACGAACATGGAGTTGTGGGCGCATTTATATAGCAATGCATGGCGTTGTAGGATATGTACGATATTAGATGGAATGCGATGGGTCGGATCAATACAGGTCGCCACTTAGCACTAAGTATTTGTATGAAAATTACAACTATAGAGACGAAACTCGAGGCCGATTAATTAACATGTTCTTCAGCTTTTGAAAAGATTAAAATATTACTATGCGTGGTGATATTTTACTTGAAATCAAGCTGCTGAGGTTGAGTTATTCGCCCTCACTGTTAGTCAGACCCGGTGCGCTATCTCATTCATACAATTTTTTTCCTCCTACAACTCCTCGTCATATAAATACATCCAGAGAGAAGTACCTGGCTCAAAATGAAAGTCAATCAGACGATATGTATGGAAAACTCTCATCCTTGTCATTTCCTTCTTCTTTTTAGCTGACAGGGGATTAGCGATTTCAACAAGCAAAGCCTTGCTGGTGCCATATGAAGCCCACCATGTGCTCACCTACCATGAGTGGATGAAAGACCCAGTAACGAAGTGCCTACTCCTGTTCCTTGATAATTTGCTTACAAAGTAGAAATAGGCAATTCAAGAGGCCACTGCGTCAGAACCTATGACATTGGAAGAAGAATATGAAAACCAGGAATCATGGCGAACATCTCATGATAAACTGACGTTTATTGTATGCGAGCCATTAAGCGGGGCGGCAAGCAACGAAAACGATGAAGCACGACAAATCAAGGCTCAAGTCGACGATTCACCCGACAAAATGAAAGGAGACATCAACTTTTTCCTCTATCTAGCTGACGAGGACGATGATGGTGACGAGGTTGCCGAACCACGAGAGAGCAGCACGATACGTTTGATAGGCGAAGTAGACGTCATGATAGCAAATACGCAGCACCGCGGGAAAGGCGTGGGAGAAGCCGCAGTGCGATTAATATTGGCATATATACGGAGAAACCTACCTGAAATACTGAAGGAATATGCACAAGGCGAGAAGCTGGACGTGGAGAAGGTGCAGCTTGTGGGGTTGATGGCCAAGATCAAGCAGGAGAATACGGGAAGCAGGGCGCTGTTTAAGAAGCTGGGGTTCAAGCAGGAGGGAGAGGCGAATTACTTTGGGGAGGTGAAGATGGTGATGGGCTGGGAGACGAATGGGAGCGAAGACATGGCGGAGGGTTTGGAATATCGAGAGCTGGACTATGTGATGTGAGTATAGATAGATATTTATTTATTCGTTGTGTATTAGAAGCCATGGTGTTGAGGATTGGTAGGTCATAAGGATATAGGGGAATTGTTTTCCACCTTTTCATTCCCTCCTCTTTTTCTAAAGGCAATATACCTATAGAAGCTCAATTGAGATATATTCTGCCCCAAATCTACTGTAAGTAATCCTCATCATGCAAGAGCCTTTGCTCTTTTCTATCCCATCTTCTCTCATCAAAAAGGCGCTACCAACTGCACACACAGTACGTACCCACCAGCTACCGACCGCCCGCCAATCCGAAGCCTCCAAAATTTCAACACCATCTCAACTCTCTCAACCTCAAAATCATCCATCGCAGCATCCAAACAAACCCCCCACCAATTCGCTCCAGACAGCACTCGACACCCTCACCGTCCGAGTTCGCTGAAATCTTCAACAATGAATTCCATCATCCGCCTCGCGCGGCCACTCCTCGCCCCGCGCATTTCCGCCCTCTCGCAACGGTAACATGCTCCCCCCACCAACCTTCAATTGTCGAAGCGTTTCAACTAACAGCTTTGCCAGGACATACACATGCCTCTCTCCTCTCCGTCCTACATTGACCTCAACTTTCCGCCCCAACAACTCCTTCACGCCCTCCCTCACAGCGCAATCACCAGCCGCAACCTCACCAGAATCCGCAGCAGACCTCGTGCCCACGGCGGCAGTGTCCTCGCATCCCGCCCTGCAAGGGCTGCAGCTGCGCTTCGGGCCCCGAAATACCATGAATGGCCACACGAGGTTGGTGCAGAAGAGGAGACATGGGTGGCTGAAGAGGACGAGGAGTAAGACTGGGCGGAGGATCTTGCAGCGGAGGAAGCTCAAGGGACGGAGACACGTTGCGTGGTGAGCGGGGGGATTGTACTCGGTTAAATTGAAGGAATTGGGAATATATGCCGTGGGAAAACTATATGAGTGTATGATGGGGTGGGTGTATAAAGGGACATCTACTAGAGATATAGATGTATTGTATTGTACTATTACTGGGCGCACCAGAGACTCAAAAAGACAAAAGTTTGAGAATCAACAGAACAAGGTGACAATAACAGAAAAACAAAAAGTGATCAATTCTTCAAATATATCAACTAAACATCTACATCTACACTGGTCCACTAACACCAGTCTCGCACTTGAGCGTATCTGTATGACATACTATACTCAAGGAATCACTGGCATCTCCAATCCATACTTTATATCCTCCATCAACCGCAGGCACTTTCCAGTCCTGTGCCACCACATCCCACACACTAACATCCTTGCGCGTAAGCGTTAATGTCACCGTCGCCGTCTCCCCCGGTGCCAGCTCCTCCGTCTTCTCGAAGTCACGAAGCTGGATAATCGGCGTATCATAGCTGATATTATCCGGGAACTGTAGATACGCCTGCACGGAGGCCTTGCCTGCAAACTCATCCCCCGTGTTCCGCACCGTCACTGTGAGGTTATACGCAATGTCCCAGAGCGCAGGGTTGCCTCCCTCGCCGCCACCGGAGCGAGGACCGGGTTTCTGGGTAGTGGAATAGCCGTCGGGGTATGCATATTTGCCCGATTTCCCGTCTGAGACGGCACCGTTGGCGTCGCCCTGTGAAAGCCAAGAGTAGATGTAGCGCGGGATTGAGTTGAAGCCGGAGGGTGCGACGGCTTCGTTGGCAGATGGAGTGGCTTGCGAAAAGTTGGGAATGCCGCTCTTTGCGGAACGACTGGGGGGATACGAGCTTAGCTGAGTGATCTTTTTAATCGACGCTGCTGTAAATGTAAAGTTTGTGTAGCTCAGGCCGTGGCCAAAAGCGTATCGAGGTTTGGTGTTATTCTTGTTGAGCCAGCGGTAGTCGATATACAAACCTTCAGTGTATGTGTCCTGAGGCTGGTTGAGGAACTCGGAGTTGATGAGCGTCGTGACGCTGCTTGGGAAATCAGCTTCCTGTTTTGTGATTGAATAAGGCAAATGTCCACATGGCGAAGAGTGTCCATAGAGGACGTTTGTAAGTGAGGTTCCAGCTTCCTGGCCAGGCAGATGCGCAATGAGGACGGCCTTGACGGATGGTAGATCAATCCAATTCTCAAGAATCAGGGGACCGACGGTGTGTATCACCACAATGACGTTGCTGAATTTGCTGGCGGCATCTTGAACGAGCTGATCGCCGTTGTGCCATGCATATAAACCGGAGGCATCGCGGTCGCCATGATTGCCTTCAACAGTGTAAGTGTTCTCGCCGGCGTCCGAACTGATAAATACAATAGCGATATCACTAGCTGATACTTGGCCGATGGAGGGAACGCTGTCGGTATTGTAAAAGGTGACGTTGCTGGCCGCTGCGGTGATAGCTGTAATGGGATCATCCAGATATGGGTAATCAACAGTCCCTGAACCCCAGCCCTGTCCGAGGGTGCCCTTGTTGCAGTTGCGATCTGTGCATGAATTGATTCCATCCGAATTCTTCTGGGCGTCGGTTCCGAAGACTTTGATGTGCTGTGACGGGGATAGAGGAAGAATGCCGCCATCGTTCTTCAGCATGGTAATAGCATCCTGAGAAATCTGGCGAGCAACCACGTCGTGGTCGGCCTGAACCTGAACAAACTCGTTTGTGACTCCTGACGGCGAGAATGGCCACGCGGCAGGATACAATTGATTAACTGCAGCACCAGAATTGGTGTCAAAGTTGGTCGCTGGGAATCCCTGATCCTGGCCCATCTTATACCATGCGGCCAAAATTCGTGTAGCTGCGTCGTTGATACGATCCATGGGGACTGACCCGTTGAGAGCGGACCGACTGAGCTCATACATCCAGTATGAATTACCGAAGAATGGAATCTGAACGTCGCCAGGCATGTCCATATCCAAGCCAGCAATAGCAGAGGCAACACCGGACATGTGAGCTAGCCAATCGGTCATGATGAAACCCTGGAAGCCCATTTCATCCTTGAGGAGGGCGTTCATAAGATAAGGATGCTGAGTACACGCAGTTCCGTTTACCTATAGCAGAGACGAGAATTGGTCAGCTTCAGACTCTTTCACACTACTCGTCTCGGATTCACTTACAGCGTTATATGCCATCATGACAGAGCCGACGCCCGCATGAATGCCTTCAGCGAATGGCCAGGCATATACTTCATGCATCGTCCTATCATCTGTTTAAATCACCCAACCACCGTTAGCAGGTTATTTTGCCCATTCTAGCCAATTCAGCCAGAAAGACTCACCGAGATTTGAACTGTAAGCATATTGAAAAGGATTGTACATGCGGTACATCTCTTGCTCATTCGCAATAAAGTGCTTGATTGTCGCAATGACACCTTGCTCCTGGACGCCCTTGATCGTCTCTCTGGCGCCCACAGCTTGGAGTACAGGATCAGCACCAAAGCCCTCCCAGTTGCGGCCACCCTTTGGCTTGCGTCCTATCGGCCCAACTGTTGGTCCTAGCCAGACATTGACACCCTTCCCGCGATTCTCCTTCCCGATGGCCACGCCGCGCTGGTACATGAGCGTCTTATCAAAAGTTGCGCCAACTGTGATTCCGTCAGGGAAAGCTGTAACGTTATCCGCATGGCGGACACCGGCAGGGCTGTCATTAAGACACAGCTGAGGGATGCCAACTCGAAGTGCAGAGCCTGTGTTTCCGGCACATCGCCTTGAATGAGATTAGCTTTATACTTGAGAGTTCATGTCTATCTCAACATCATATCATTCTAGAGATGAAACTAGATATGAGGGTTCTCATTCGCTGCTTGAATAGAGGCTCTCGGTGTGTTTTGAAAATCTTGAAATATAAAAACCAACTCACCCTGTATTAAATCAGTCAGCATTACAACATATCGTTATGCCCAGGCAATTATCAAGTATCACACAGCCGCTGAAATCGCATTTTCGATTCAAAGGATTCTCTACTCACCCATGTAAATTCCTGTTCCTGCAGTGATATTCGTCTTCTCTGCCAGAGTCATAGAGTCGACCAGAGCCTTGGCCTTAGCATAGCTCTGTCGCCATTCATCCACCCATCCACCATATGGCGCAGGATAATACGGCGGCACATAGTAACCATCCGGAACCCAGCCTTGGGCGGCTGCGGCTGCTGCTATCTGCGCATTTGCCGACGCAGCACTGGGTCCAGCTTGTCCCAGCCCAACGAGGCTGGATAGAATACAGGTCACAGCAGTGGACACTCTGACACTGTCGGAAAACGAGGTCATGGTTCCTGCTGCCCAGGGCACAGATGAACAACAGACGTTACAACGTACCTAACAGCTAGGTGGTAGTAGACACAGACTCTTGGAGCGGTCTCGTGTGGTCTCGCGTGCTCAAGAGCATGGCATTTCACAAACAAGGGTCAAGAGAATTCCAATTGACAGGGACGAGTTATGGAGAAACCGTCGAGTATTTACCGTCAATCGTTTCCCCATCAAGGCGAACTCTACGGCTCAAGGGAGGGAAAGTATGCATGAGCACAGCACTCGCGACCTCGTGTCCACGATGAGACATCCATGACACCCCTCTTGCTGCCAGGTCTCAAGGCCAAGGCCCATGGCTCTGGCATGTCACCCTTTCGATTCTTTTTTTTTCTCCGAGTTTTTCGTAATCTATTGCCTCTTCTGTGCTCATCACTCCCACCCATGGCTCTTCTTGGGCAGCAGTTATCGTGCATTGTTTTGCCCCAAAAGACCAGCAAGCTAGCAGCAATGCGAGCGAGAACCTGCAGACGCTCGGACAAGGGAAAACAGGCCCAGCTGAAGAGGTCTAGAACCAATAAAACCAATGAGGAGCAAGGGCCATTCTGCCCTTCTTCCCTTGTTTTCTCCAGCCAAGAGCTGAGTGGTGGTTGCACTTGCACACACCACATAATGGCCATGGGCAGCAGCAGATATCACCAAGAAAAACAGACATGAAGTCAGACGACGATCCCACGTCACCGCCCTTCAGCTCGCAGATGCACGATTGACCGCCCAGCCCAAATCGGACGTCACCAAGTGTCTTTCAGGCTCTGCTCGTTCAGGCATCAATCAAGCATTGGCTTCGGTGGAATGTCTCGAAAAGGCCGTGGCGGTGGAGCGGCGCTTCTTTTTTCTGCTGCCCATTGCGTATTTGTACATAACTGGCGGGGTGGTTTCCGCTATCGCTACAACAATGGCAATGGAAAGCTTGTATGTGCAGGGGGGGTTGAAGCTAGGAGCCCGAAGAAGAGTCTGGGGAAACATGTCAATGGCGTGGGCCTTGGCGAACGGACACAAACAATCCGAGAAGCAGCACAAAGGTGATGGTGTGGACGCCGATATTGAGGTCAAATGCTCCCCATGTTTCTCGAACGCATCTCGGGGTAATCACAAGGAAAATGAGGGCACGCCAGGAGACAAAGGCGGGTGACCCTCGGTTCGTGCAACTTGTCTAGAGTTCTGTTGTCCAAATCGAGGATGAATTACTATTAGCGTCCTGCACGGCCATGAAATCGGTCGCTTTCTTCGGTTGGAGTCGAGAGTTGGAGTTGACAAGTCGAGAGGGGTCTGCACGCGCCAGATGCCCAGATGTAACAGTGGCGGGCATGCGCGTGATGCCCCCAGCAGAGGTGGCTGCTGAATATTGATTCCATGGCATTTGGATATTGAAGCCGGTAAAGGATTGGAGAAGCATCAAATGCCTAGTTACTTGGTTCTCTGTTCTGTTCTTTGTAGAAAATATCAAAATGTAGTCGGCGGGAGAAGAGCTGCAATTGGATGAAATGAACATGTCCAACCAACAAGCACGGCATTGAATGCCGGACATGGGCAGCCGTGATAAGGATCAATCCGGGAGTCCCTATGAGGTAATGCCTCGAATCGTATTCCACTGGCCCAAAAGTACATACCCTGCAACGTCTAGAATAGAGAAAAAACAGCGTGGGCACAGGATTAGGGATCTAAGGGTCCCTAGTAGATACAAACCAGGTCAATTATAGGTGGAATTCGTGCGACTCGTACAGTAGGCGCCTGATGTGGCCCCGGTGATGAAGGCGGTCCGATTGCCAATGTCGAGTTCATGTTGTTTGTGCTGGTTCGTAGGCAGTTGCTTTTCATCGGCAGGATTGCGTCCGAATTCTGCAGTTACATGCATCGTATATTAATTTTGCTAATCTGTCGTCATATTTTTAATATTTTTTTTTTGCGGCTGAAGGCAACAACATCCAGAAAAAGAAGTAACAGGGCATTTTCAACCTCGATATTCAAAGTTGCCTTTCTAAGCGTCTGACTAGGAGCCACTGCGGGTACCAACGCCTGTTTGCGAGCTGCCATTTGGAGATGTCGTCCGAGGTCAGGCGCCTGATTAATCGCTCGTAGAATGTGGGCATGTTCCTACAGTTATAGCATAGCCTTTTGTGTGCATCTAGTTTAAAGATCCATGAGTAAGCCACGTGGGATTGTCGACCGCCAACATGAAGCCACTATCGTGACTCGCGAGAAGAGGGCGGAGGAGGTCATTGAAGAGGCAGACCTAGAGGCACAAGCAGAAGCAGAGAGCAGAAACAGAAAGCAGAGATGGAAGATGATACAACATACCTGCTACCCGGCCTCGTTGCAACATCGTAATCGTACCTTGTAGAGAATGAATATCCATATACCCCATTTGTAAGGCGCCGTGTTATTCGCAACGTGGATGCTACGGCAAGAAATATCCGATTCGGTCTTCCAAAGCGTCGACCCGGCCCATTACAAGGTGAACTTCTCCCCGCAACAATATAGCAAAAGATCCATCACAAGTGCCGTTCGAGCCATTAATATCAGTGTAGCATAAGTGCTTCCCTAAAGAAACAAGGGCATTTGTCATAGCCTCGCGGCTAAGAGAATGTTGATGATGAGGTGATAGGCGAGCTTACCTATACGGGATCTATCGTGTGTGTCAGCACCTCTGGCTTATAACAATATTCTCCTTCAAGACTCTGCCACATAATATAATAGCACTTTTATCTTGCTTGTTGCTCCGATAATGCCATAGTAATTAACGTGATACTCTACACACTATCCGTCATCTCGACTCATCGATATTAACGGGAAGACGGCTTGGCAGGGTCCCAGTACTACGCTCTTCTTACACGTCTTCCCGTTTCGTCTCATCATTTACGAATCTCAAAAGGACCTGAAACCGTCGCAGAGACCGTATCTGGAAAGTACCCTAAACCACTACACGGCTAACTAATAAATCCCACCTCCCTTGTCAGTAGCATCTTGATGTAGATCCCGAATCCTTGAGCACATCCCCCACGCGCCCGTTCCGTTATGTAAGTCACGCCGTTCATCACAACAGCCGCCTTTGGAACCGTCTCTTCCGATCTTCTCATTCGTAGATAGTACGGGTATCGGAAAGCCACCAATCGTCTTTTACGATTTCCCTTCCGGCTTTCCCAATCAGCGCCCTTCCCCATTCCTCATTTGGAAGTCCCGCCGAGAAAATCTAGACATCGGCTCGCCATTCGGACAGTTTCCATCGTCTGTTTTGTAAAAGAAGCTTTCTATTTCGGGGTTTGTCTCCGGTGCCGGTTTGCCTTTTAGAATGCAAAGGCATCTAAGCCACTCGGACACCGGTCAGAAACCAGGCACTAGAAACCTTCACGCATGAAGTTGCGGGGTGATGGAACAACGGAGACGATGCGGATTCATGCGTCGACCTAAAAAAAAAAAATATGGAGGTTGTTCCGAGAGAGGCTCTGTCGCAATGTGAGACGCTTGCTTCACAAATTGTCCGGCGCAAAGGTGTATCCGTCTGCTGCCTGGTAGTATCAGGGGTGCTCGGGTTGTCCGAGTCTGTGTGCTGTCTCACATGTCAATATCAGGAAACCCGATGTGTGTAAATTGTATATAAACATCCAGCCGCTCCAACATGAAATAGTTGTTTTGTTTTATAATAGTATAAGACAATTTGACATTGTGCTTGTGTTATTTTCACTATTCGTCTTTGAATCAATTTGAAGCTAAGCATTGATTGCTGAAGCTCAAAGGCAGCTCTCCGCCATCCATTCTCATCTGCACCCCGATTCCCATATTCGAATATCATAAAACCATTGCAATGAAGTGCTGGCAGCTTCTCTCTCTTGCAGCTGTTGTGGCTAGCAGTCCCGTGCCGTCCATCCAGGACTACACTCGTCTGCTTAGAGCTCGACAGAGCGATACAAGCTTCACTGCTACACAGCAAGAGCTCAACAACTTCAGCTTCATCGTCCAGTATGCTGGAGCTGCATACTGCAACTCCGAGACACCAGCTGGTCAAGCCGTCACATGCTCTGACGACGGTTGTCCTGATGTTGCAGGAACTGTCGTCAACTCCTTCACGTGAGTAACACTTACACTTCGATACAAAAGAACCAGTCTAACCATGACCATATAGCGGCTCCGTCACTGGCATCGGAGGCTTCGTTGCCGTTGACAGCGCACACCAGCAAATCATCCTCTCCTTCCGTGGAAGCAACAACCTCCGCAACTTCATCACAGATGTTGTCTTTGGCTTCACAGACTGTTCACTTGCCGATGGCTGCGAAGTTCATGATGGCTTCAACGACGCTTGGAATGAAGTCGCCAGCGCTGCCACAGACGCTCTCACCCAGGCCCGTGCCGCCAATCCTTCCTTCGAAATCGTCTCCACGGGACACTCTCTCGGTGGTGCAGTCGCTACCCTTGCCGCCTCAGTCCTCCGTACTCAGGGTTTCGCCATTGATGTCTACACATTCGGATCTCCTCGTGTTGGCAACGACGTCTATGCCAACTTCGTGACCAGCCAGCCCGGTTCTGAGTTCCGCGTTACTCATTTTGACGACCCTGTCCCCCGTCTTCCCCCAATCATCTTCGACTACCGCCACGTCTCTCCCGAGTTCTGGCTCTCTGCTGGCGATGGCTCAAACATTGACTACACCGTCGCCCAGATTGAGGTTTGCACTGGCATCGCCAACGTGGATTGCAACGCTGGCACCTCTGGACTCGATATTACCGCTCATTCCAACTACCTCCGTAAAGTCTCTGCCTGTGCTCCCTCGCCTCTGCAGTTCAAGCGTGATGACGGCAACTCTACCGGCTATGATCAAGAGACTATTGACAGGATCAACAAATGGAGCCAAGAAGACCAGGCCTATGTCGCCGGTGGACAGGCATAATAAAATTCACATGGCAAGAAATGATGTTTTACACGGCGTTATATGGGCTCTTGAATCTTGGGAAAAGAAAATTAGGGGGTGAAATGGACAGAACCAGTTTTGAAGAAAGGGTTTACCCGTAAACCCGATGTTTCCTCATCGGCATGTTTCAACAGACTAGGGTGTATAAATTCCAAGCACGTAACAAAGGTGGAAATGTACAAAGAATTGATCGTATATAAGCACAATTGTGAGGAACAATGTTGAACTGACACGTTCATTGACTGAATGATTCTATTATATCCGTTTACTGTACGTGCCTTAAAACTCCAGGATATAGTGCCGACTTCGAGTGGGAAACAGTTTGAATCCTCTAAGAAGTAACGTAAAAGTCATATGCAGTGGCTTCATGCCAACATGATAGCCCATTCTGCCCAGCGCGAGTCTCACACAGGAAAACAAAAGCACCTAATGGGTCCCCTCGGTTATCATTCCTTGAGCATTGGGTACGCCAACCAATATGACACCCCGCGGCACTCTGACTTCCTTGACCTTCATGCAACCAAAAACATTCACCTCTTTGATGTTCGGGCAAGCTCGGAATATGGATCCGAGGATGAAGTCTGTGACTTCTTCGCAGAAGCTAATCTCAAGATGTCGCAATTCCGGATACTGTTTCGATCCGTCAAAGACTTCTTCAAAAGCTTGGCGAGAAATGTGTCGGCAAGCATGCACATTGATATGCCTCAATGTGTGCCCAGAATGATTCATAAGCGCTTTGAATCCTTCGCTACAGAGCCCGATGTTGTTGGGATTCTCCCGCGGACGAGCAGCATCCAGCTGTCGGCACTTTTGCAAGTCCAAGAAATCCAGCGGCGGGTTCTCCCAGTCAGTAAAGAGTCGAGCGAAGCCCTCGTCTGTCATGGTTTCGCTTTCCGTGATGCGAAGCTTGACTAGCGAACGGCAATTATTATGAATAGCTTCGAGAACACCATCGTCAGCATCGGGTACAATTTTAAAGGACAACGTTCTGAGGTCCTTCCCGATCTGAGCGATACAAGTCTTGAGAGCGTCTGATGAAAGATCCTGCTGGAGTTCCAGACTGAGGTGCCTCAGGGTAGAAAGATTTCCAATGGCGATTACTCCTGCATCTGTGACCTTTTGGTTATGGCAGACCTTTAGACGAGTCAACTCGGGGCAATGCTCCTTCAAGAATCCCAAAGTTTCATCTCCGAAATGCTTGTCAGTATAATAGACCTGCAGTTCCTTCAATGTTTTGCCCTTGGCAGCGAGGAATTCGTGCCATTTATCCTCGCCTAGCAGATTGGCACCATGAAGGTAAAAGCTCTCCAGAAGAATGTCCCTCGAGAGCAAGTAATCCATAACCTCATCTTTAAACTGGACTGCGCACCGCGCCTTGAATTTCTTCAAGTTCGAGGCCACCTGGAAGATGTTGATGAAGTCCTGGTGGCCCAGCTTTGCTCCATCGTAGATATGCAAAACCTCGGTAGATGGCTGCATAAACAGGGGTAAGGTATCCGGTTTTAGCAAACGCCGCTTAGAAAATATTCGAGCAATCTTGTCGATGAGATGCTCTGGCAAGTCACCCAAGCTTTCCGCCAAGTCTACGTTCTTAGCCAGCGTTTGTACGCACAGGGTAGCAAGGCTTTTCGTTCCGACATCTCCGTCAAGCATTCGACTCTGGATGGTTCGTCGTGATCCAACACCGCCTGTCTGCTTCCGAGGTTTCTTTTTAGGCTGTCCCTCTCGTTGCTTGGCCACCTCGCGCCCACAGGGAGCACAAAGAAGGCCCCCTTCGGGTCCTGCCACGGAATAGGGAGTTACAGTGAAGCGCTTCCCGCATATTTCGCAGTTCTCCATTTGGCCGGGAAGCGGCGCCCGTCTCTCGTCGAAGATGGCCTTGGCTATGTCGTCATCATCGTCATCGTCATCGTCATCTCCAGCTCTCTTCTTGCGCTTCTTAAACGCTTTGCTAGCTTTGATCTTTTCTAAAGCTTTGGCTTTTTGTTCTGCTGCGCCATTACGGCCTCTAGTCGTCCGTGAGGAGGAGCTTGCCTCTACTGTTACTGTTACTGTTACTGTTTCGACGGTTTCGACGGTTTCGACGGTTTCGACGGTTTCGGATGCTTCGTTGTCTTGAGCTGGCTCGCCTTCACCGGCCTGTTGTCTTCGACGGTCCGCATCGATTCTAATTTGAGCAGCCGAGATATTATGTGACTGAGAATTGTGTCAGAAACATCAGACTACAAACAAGAGCACGCCGAACCATACCGCAAGGAAATCGGTCAAGGCAGATTGACTAGGTGAACAATGTCAGCTTAAATCGACATAATCAATCACAATTTCGCTATACTCACGGCCCAGTAATGTTACGACTTGGTCGCCCATTCTGATTTTCGTCATACCGCCTTGTACGAGCCCTGAGCACAGAGATTGGTCAGCCATTATCGCTGCGAAGTTTTGGGCTCAAGTATGGAATACGAACATGATGAGTCCGCGGGCGACCAGGCAAGTCTCTAGATCTCTTCTCGTCCTGAACTTCTTTGCGATATTTCTATGCAAAATCTATTGTGTTTTGTCTCTAACTGACTTCTGGAGAGTGGCGAAGAGAAATCTTTTCATGTCTCTCTAAGAGATTGCTTCGGGCGTTCTTTCGCCCAGTGCAAATGGCAAGAGGCGTGTCGCCACTGTCGCGGAGATAACACGGTGTCACGTGATGTCCTGAGCAAACTCATTTAGCGATCGACACTGTCAAAATTCACTACACAGTAGGCAGTCTACGCCACATCTCCGCTAGCCCTACAGTGTCCTTACAGTGCCGATCTGTCCAATCTGTCTCCCCTTATCATCGCACGTGCTTTCGCGTAAAGTGGCTGTGCGCGTCCTCTTGCCAAAGTAGACACTGTGAATTGGCATGGCCACTAGGTTAGGTAGTCACGGTCGATGAGGCAAGTTCCTACCGACTTTTTCATCCAGTAACCTCTGCCCGTTCTTTTTTTCTTCTTCTCCCACTTCATCAGATTCAAGCGACCAGGCTGGCTTCATCATCCCCTGTTGGACGCAAAGACCAAGACGAGACACCAGTTGCTCGTCCTCCGACAGTCGTTTTGAAGCCTCCCTACGGCGCTTAACCTGTAACTTGTGCTTACTTATTAGGCGGGTGAAGCCCCTTCTGATCTGCAGCCCAACTTCCTTCGTTCCATCGAAGCCATCCCTTTCTTTGCGGGCTCACTGCAAACAAAATCTTTTTGTCGTTTCCCTGTTATTTTCACGCCACTTCAATCGTCACCGTATTGGTGAACAGTTACAATGCCTCGTGGTCGTCCATCTTTGAAGGCATCTGCCACCCCTGTCCCGAAGTCTTCCGGTATGATTACACATATATCACCACAGTTAACTGCTCATTACTGACAAATTTTCAGAAGCTGGAAATGGTCCTGCCAGTGCACCTGAACGTCTTACTCGCACTAGATCCGCGAGAAATCTTAGAGGGTCCTCTGCCGCAGATGAACTACAGTCACAAGAGATCACACCGGCCAGGACTCTCCGGGGTAGATCACGTCTCATTGCAACTCTTGCGCAAGATGACGATACTATGACTTCGGAATCCATTTCTTCAGTCCCTACACCATTTGGACAAACTTCTGAAAGTGGTTACTCAACACCTGGAACTAGTAAACTCCCAAGCCCTGCTGAAGCAGCCACCATACCTAATGGAAAGACTTCGTCAGCCTTCGAAGTACAAATCCCTGCTAGAAGCAGGCTCCAGGGACCCGGTGGCGATGAGCGAGCATTACGACGCAGCATCTATTCCTTAAACGCCAAGAGTAAGAAAGTAACAGAAGTCCAGGACTCGGATGAAGAGGACGATGACTTTGCAGCAATCACTCGTGATGCTAAGGTTGCTCGACGTTTGCAAAATGAATTCCATATGGAAAGTCTGAGGTCACGTCGCACTGAGGCAACTGATGGACAATCGTCTTTCTCGACTGAGGCGTCGGGGAAACGGCCAAGATCTGTCTCGGGGCCTACTGCAACACACAAGCGACCGAGCAAGAAGAGCAAAACTATTCCAGACTCTGACGATCTGTCTGAAGCGGACGTGGATATGGACGCTGAAATTGCTGCTGGTCTTGCACTAGAAGACGATCAATCAAACGGCGACGCCCTTTCACTTGGTGAAGAGACTGAAGATGAAGGTGAAGAGAATGTTGAAGATGACGGTGAAGAGGATGTTGAAGATGACGTTGAAGAGGATGTTGATGAGGGCATCGATGAGGACGTTGAAGATGAGATAGCAGCATCAACAGATGATGAGCCTTTGGCGGTTCAGAGGAAGAAGAAGCCTGCAAGGGTTTATGCCAAGCGCGCCGCGGCCACTCGAACATCTACCAACTTGGCAGATGCTCCCACAGCCGCCATAGCCGATTCGGAATCCGGAATGTCTGCGCTCCCGTCTGACTTCTCATCCGGTCTATCATCCGGCATCAGCTCTGCAGCTACTAGTGATAGTGAGAGCTCTGCTGTTCGCCAACCGCCGGCCAGCGAATTGCGATCAATTGCATCTAGGCGACGGGCATTTAGAAGGGCTAAAAACAAAAGCCGTGTTGCCAAGGAACGAGACCGTCTTGAGAAGCATCACCCTGAGCTATCCACCATGTGGAAAGACCTAGAAAATATGCCTGTGATGAAAGCTGGCAAAATTGACCAGCCAGCGAGTATCTCAAGGCTGTTAAAACCGTTTCAGCTTGAGGGCGTTGCTTGGATGAAGGCCATGGAGACCACAAAGTGGAAGGGTGGTCTTTTGGGTGATGAAATGGGACTGGGCAAGACGATCCAAGCCGTCTCCCTCATCATGTCTGACTACCCAGCTAAGCAGCCCACTTTGGTCCTTGTTCCTCCCGTCGCTCTCATGCAATGGCAATCAGAAATCAAATCCTACACCGATGGAACACTAAAGACTTTTGTATTTCATGGCACTAATCAGAAAGCAAAAAATATCACTGTGAAAGAGCTCAAGAAGTTCGATGTCATTATGATGTCCTACAACAGCTTGGAGTCGATGTATCGCAAGCAAGAAAAGGGTTTCAAACGGAAAGACGGCATATACAAGGAAAAGAGTGTCATTCACGCCATTACTTTCCACCGCGCCATCCTAGATGAAGCACATTGTATCAAAACGAGAACCACAATGACCGCCAAAGCGTGCTTCGCTTTGAAGACAGTATATCGCTGGTGCTTGAGCGGCACACCACTGCAAAATCGAATTGGAGAGCTCTTCTCCTTGGTGAGATTCCTTAACATCACGCCATTTGCATCCTATCTCTGCAAACAATGCCCTTGCTCAACGCTCGAGTGGTCAATGGACGAAAACAGTCGCTGTTCCGACTGTGGGCATGCGGGTATGCAGCACGTGTCTGTTTTCAACCAGGAGCTTCTTAATCCCATTCAGAAATTCGGAAACTTGGGTCCTGGTAGAGAGGCATTTAAGAAACTTCGTTTGATGACGGATCGTATCATGCTTCGACGACTCAAGAAGGACCACACCAATTCCATGGAACTTCCTGTCAAAGAAGTCCATGTCGACCGTCAATTTTTCGGAGAAGAGGAGAACGACTTTGCCAATAGCATTATGACCAACGGACAGCGCAGATTTGACACTTATGTTGCGCAGGGTGTTCTCTTGAACAACTATGCCAACATTTTTGGCTTAATCATGCAAATGAGGCAAGTCGCCGACCACCCTGATTTGATATTGAAGAAGAATGCAGATGGTGGCCAAAATGTTTTGGTCTGCTGTATCTGTGACGAACCAGCAGAAGACACTATCAAAAGCCGTTGCAAGCATGACTTTTGCAGAGCGTGTGTGTCTAGCTATATCAAATCGACCGATGAGCCAGACTGTCCGCGGTGTCATATTGCACTAGTCATCGACCTTGAGCAACCCGAAATCGAGCAGGATGAAGTGTTGGTCAAGAAGTCGTCAATTATCAATCGAATCAAGATGGAAAACTGGACATCTTCCTCTAAAATCGAGCTGCTTGTTCATGAACTTCACAAGCTGCGATCTGACAACGCTACGCACAAGTCAATTATTTTCTCACAGTTCACCACAATGTTGCAACTCATCGAATGGCGACTTCGGAGAGCCGGAATCACAACTGTCATGCTTGACGGCAGCATGACTCCTGCTCAGCGGCAAGCCTCAATTGAGCACTTTATGAACAACATTGATGTAGAATGTTTCCTTGTTTCGCTCAAGGCTGGCGGTGTTGCACTCAACCTCACTGAGGCGTCACGAGTGTTCATCGTAGACCCGTAAGTATAATCCCTTCTCAACTACATTTTAGATCAGCTCGGGCTAATATTTTATTGCTAGTTGGTGGAACCCGGCTGCTGAGTGGCAGTCTGCTGATCGCTGTCATCGTATTGGACAGCAACGACCTTGCGTCATCACACGTCTTTGTATCGAAGACTCGGTCGAAAGCCGAATGGTGCTGATTCAAGAGAAGAAGACGAGTATGATCCATTCTACTGTCAATGCTGATGATAAAGCGATGGATACTTTGAGCCCCGAAGATATGCAATTCCTTTTCCGAGGCTCGTAGATTTTGGTCTGGTTTGTCGATTTTGATGCAAACACGGTCATTGTGAAAAGTATAACGGTTATGAATGATTTGAAGATTTGCTCAGGAGGCGTTAAGACGGTTAACACTTGCTCACGTTGAAAGTTTTTTTTTTGGTTTTGGTACGAAGACGGTTATACGTCAATGCTAGTAACACGCAAGCAAAACTTTTACTTTCATGTTTGTAATCTTGAGTTTTCCTAGTTTCTGTCCTTGTTATTAGGCAAAAAGTTCATAGAGAAAACAAGAAGCATCGTATATCTATTTTCTGCAAAGGGATCGTAAAACGGTATTGAAACCTTAGATTAATATCGGATGGCGTCAGTTAGTTATAGGTATGTTTAATGCTCACGGTTAATGGCATCGAAGATGCTTAAACGTACTAATGTTGGTAGCTCATACGGGAATGTGGTCATCCATAAGGAGCTCTTTGTGGGCTACTTTAAACATTTAGTTAAGACACACAAAGACACATAGACAAAGATGATAGGGAGACACATTTATGCGATATAAAAACTTTTGATACGCTCTATTGAGGCATCTTTTTTCTCGACTGTCTATCGACTCTTTTATAAGTAATGGTTGAATATAGTAAAACCACACCATGAATGTGGTTCTAAGAAGCCTGGTATTTGGTTCTCTGTAGTTTCCCCCTATTAGGAGGCCACTCGGAGAACCATCAAAGACCAATAGCTAGAAAGTAAACCGCTCCCGCCCATCTCTTCCCCCTTTTTGTAAACGAATAATCCTGGCAAATAAATATATGCAAAGTCATTCGCAGTGAGGCCACGCTATTTAGAGGTCCAAGAGAGCCTTGGCACCAGGCTCGCTGCAGACATAGATGGTGTCGTGCGAGTTGGAGAATCCATTGAACTGGGTGGCAGAGCACTTGGTGTAGGCTCCCATGTTCTCAAAGTAGAGCCAGTCACCAACATTGAGGATGCGCTGGAAGTGAGTGCTCTGGCTAATCTGGTCGATGCCATCACAAGTAGGGCCCCAGATGGAGTACTCAACGCCATCGCCAGGGGAGCAGGGCTCGGCGGCGTACGTGTCGAAGAGGGTCTGACCACCGCTATGGAGGATCTTGGCAACAGGGTGCTGGTGGTCAAACATGATGCTCGAAAAGTTGCCATAGACACCGTCGTTGATGTAAGCCATGTAGCTAGTGGCTTCGACCGAAGGATCATCAACGGTGCGACGAGCAATGATGTTGCACGCAATGGTGAAGGCGGTGGCAACGTAGAAACGGCCAGGCTCGGCAATGATATCGATGCCACATCCAGAGGGGAAATATTCGGTCAGAGCAGCATCAAGGACGCCAGCCATCTTCTCAAAAGTCTCTCCGGTGAAGCCACCGCCAACGTCGAGGACTCGCAAGTGAAATCCGTAGGTGCGAGCCTGCTGGAAGACGGTGTGGGCGTCGGTAACGGCCTTGTAGAAGGCTGTAGGATCGGAAGCGCCAGATCCCACATGGAAGCTCACTCCGACGACGTTGAGGCCCAGCTCTTGGGCCAGGGCAAGGAGGCTCTCGGTAGTGTCCATGGGGGCACCGAACTTCATGCTGAGACGGCACAAGCTCGAGGTGTCATCAGTCATGATGCGAAGGAAGAGCTCGGCGCCGGGGAACAGCTTGGCGATCTTGTGGAGCTCATCAGCATTGTCAAAGGTCATCTGCTTGACACCAACCGACTTGACATAGCGGACATAGGAGTTGGTCTTGCAGGGTTGGGCATAGATGATGTGGTCTGGGCTGGTACCAAGGCCCAGGACCTGTTCAATCTCGCCCTTGGAGGCGCAATCAAAGCCCGTGCCGAGCGCAGCAAGGAGCTGGAGGACCCTGGGGTCAGGGTTACACTTGACGGCATAGAAGGGCTTGATGCGGGGCAGGTTCTTCTTCCAGCGGAGATGCTGGCGGTAAACCTCACCAAGGTCTGCTACGAAGAAGGTATCTTCTTCACCGGGGTCGCAGAGCTCATGGTCAACGGCCCCCACGCGCTGGTGGAAGGCCTCACCGATCAATTGCTTCGGATCAACAGCAACATTGTTCTGAAGAGCGCCCAAATATTGGGGTTTCTTCTTCACAACATGATTATGGATGACATTTTGGACGTAATTGTCGAGGACAGCTGTTGCCATAACCATATCCCAAGAGTTTGCGGGGGGGATGTCTTCTGTGAAGGAAAAGAAAAGTAGTTCGAAAGAGAGGTCCGAAGTTGTTTTCTAAGGAACGGGAATCTGTGCAGCTAAATAGGCAAGCGGTTTGTTAGGGTGGTCGAAAGCGATAGCAGACTGTTCCCTCAGTGATCTGGCGAGGCCTCCTCGACGACTCTTCCTCAGCGAGAGGAAGAACCGCAGAACTCCTCCTATGCGGCAGCTGATGGGTGTCGTTTAACGACGGGGACGGTGGCTGGTGACGAGGCGGCACGTCGAAAAGCAAAAAATCGTCGAGCTGCTTAGAGTGTCCAAGCGGCGGGTGGGGGGATGGTGTTGATGATGTGAGGTATCTTGCGAGCGCAGAAATCTTTGTCAATCACGGCCTGGGGAGCCGTGATGAGGGAGGTGAGTGCCTTTGTAGAGGCCAAAGGCACCGAAGACGGTATTCGAAGAGGTATGGAGGAAGCTCTAGAGTAGCGGGAAAAAAAAGAAGCTTGTTAGCTCAGTAGCTCGCAACATAACAAAGCATAAGCTTGATTTATATCATTCAACTGGTGACCAGGCATCCATCCTGCGCAAGCAAAAGCGAGGAAATTCCGCAGTCGGCGAGCCTCGCACACAACTCGAGATGGGAGTCATCCTGTGCGTTGTGGCGGTGACATTCGCCTCGTCACGGGAAAATCCGTGCAAAGGAGGTTGCGCCAATGAGGACACGGAGCTGAAAAGGAGCATCAAAAAGAAAAATGTAAAAATGACCACATACCTAGAAATTGAGTCTAGAGCAACGAGAGCAATGACGAAGCAGCGGGAACGTTGTTCGATGCAAAGCGCACAAGTGCGAATAAAAAAAAGGAGGATGCGGTTGAAAAGTTGTGTTGGTGACGAGGGGTCGAGCTAGGTTTTATCCTGTTTTCTGCTTAACGAGAAAAAAAAATCAAAAATGGAACGGCGAGTGCGGCATGTTGCGGTACGTACCTGCGTTGCAAGGAACCGGGAACGGCTGCCCACAATTTGGACAAATTTTTGCCTTTGGAAGGCATTTTAGTGGCATCGGGGGGCGGGAGACGGAAAACTGGAGCGGGAGCTGCAAGGCCCAATGGGCGAATAAGAGGCTGGCCTTTTGACGCAAGAAGCTGCCGCAAGTGAGGTATCACGGAGTTAATATTCGAGGTGCTGTAGGGAGAGGGCACAGGTTGGCATCTACTAATACAGGCACTGTAAGTAAGCAAAGTGGCCTCTATTCGTGTTCACATAGGTATTGTTCGGTATCACTCTGGATTTACTTAAACAGCGTCAACAAAGAAGCTAGACGCAGATGGAAGAGTCGGGTCCAAATTATCGATGGAGAGCCTTGTCCCCGATAGGTACAGCGTCACCCCCTGGCGGTAGCTGATCGCCTACATGCTTCCCCCTGTCGATACACATCCACTACTGCTGCATGTTAGACTTTGCAGCGCATACCTCCAAAAGGGCAGTGATGCAACATGCATGAGTACTCAAGTACTCCTCCGTCATACAGCACAGTAGCACAAGCTGTTTATTTCGTGCATCCTCCAGCACCTAAAATTAAATGCCGCCTTTGTACTCGTACTCGTACGTACTTGTCAGAAGTTCTGTTGTGCCTTGGGCTGCCTCCGGAAAGTGCCTCTGCTCTGCTGTGCATCCAATCCCAGTTCCATCAAATCTCTCTCTCAAACACACATCCATCCATCCACGAGCCAGCCGTAAGCTGAGTCTTTTTCTCTCTCTTTCTAGTAGTCTCCCTCCTTTCACAAGACAACAAAACAAAACAATCTAGAAAGATAAAAAAGCCTCATCAATTTTCTTTTATCCATTTCCCCCTCTCACGCGATCCTTCTACAGATCCGGCGAAAGGAGGCTTTCCGTCATCGGAAGCCTCTCCCTCAGTCAGGCGTCATTGACACCCGTTGACTGGCTGCACGAGCCTTTACGATGCCTGCCGCCGCCACACCGCAGGAAGTGGAATATGTAAAAAGGCACAGCATAAATGATAAAAACATTACCAATTTCCCGGGACTGATTGGCTCGCTTTGTTTGAATCCCCGCTGGAAGTGAGGTAGTGATGCTTTCATGCAAGGGAAACTCGCAGCTTTCTGGTCACCGCTGGTTTGCTCTCTTGTTGCTGTGTGGTGTTTTACCCAAGCTGTTTAATATGTCTAATAGCTCCAGGCACCATATGCAGGTTCACGTAATTTATTCCCGGAATGGTAAATTGGTACTAATATCGGTATTTGCCATGCGGAGCCAAGATCAGGATGCCTAGAGTTCCGAGACATGTACACACTCTCCTACCTGCAGTTAGACGCCCGGTACTGTAACATCTCACTCACATACTCGTAGCTCTCTCTCTCTCTCCTTTCTTCCAACCACCGTCGAGAGTTGGTCCCAGTCTCAGTTCCTTAGTTTAGTTTTCCTGGCCTTTTGCCCAACTCTAATTGCCTGCCTTCTCCACTCTTCGAGTCCTGTTTCTCCTCCAGTCTTCCCCAGTTTATCAAGCCCTCGCTTCCCTCCTCGACCCAGTCTTATTACGTTCCGCAGTCCAAGTGCTATGACGGAAGCACACGAACGAGCTCAGAGGAGGGAAAGAAGAAAAAAACATCTCAGTCCCGGCAAGTTTGTATCACACAGCAAAGTACTCACTCGACACAGCCTCCTTCGCTTACATCCAGGCTGCAATTCAACCTCACCTGTCATTGTGTCAAAAACGAGGCCTCCCCTCATTCTAGCCTTGCCCGGGCATACATCTTACAACAAATGTGCTCAGCTCTTTAGTCCCTTGCCCGGCATATATCCTACAAAAATGTGCT